TTATAGTTAAAAATGTGTCATTTTGGTTTAAATGGTTATGTTTTTTGTTAACAATAGCCAGGACCGGCTCAAAATTTAATTAAACTTTGAAGGGCTATAAATCGCTTATTTTTGAGTTTTGATAAAAAAGTTACTTAAAATATTTATTTGTCTATCTGATTTCTACACGCTGTTAAAAGGAACGCGTCAACTTAAAACTCACCCTGTATAAATATTTATTTGCTATAACTAAATTACCTCATAATAGGTTTGAAACCTGAAAGCAAAAAAATGTGTTTTCAAGCCCTAAAGAATTTTTTAAGGGCGGAGTAGATTTTAAAGGAAGGCAATTTATTAGGTGTTTCTCAGAAATAATCCCTTTGACAACTGAAAAACAAAATTACAAAAGCAAAATTCACAGAATGGTCAGCTTAACTTAAGTACCCAGATAGCACAAGAGGTACCCAGGACGTCCATTTCGGGTCCCACATTGGTCCGAACGTCCCAGACCTATATCGGAAGTTTTGGGTACGTCCAGTATCTTACTTATTTAGGAAAATTAAAGCGGATATACTCGGTACGTCCCAAGGACGTAATTTTTGTTTTTGGCATTTAAGGCTTTTCAGGTTATGTATCTGTCAAAGTATAGTCAACGAAAGAAATAATATTATGTTTAGGCGTTAAAAATGTATAAATCTATATAACATTACAATACCATGGTTGGTATAAGAATTTAGGAATAGAAATACTGCATTTAATGAAATTCTAAAGTGTACCTATGGTGCCAAATAAGTAATATTTTTGTGCATTTGTTCCGAATATCGGGTTTTCTCTACAAAATAATTTTAAATAAACAGCATTATTGAAAAAAAATCTAGCTTCTCTATTATGGAATAAGTATATCTGTATTAAAGGTACCTAGGTTATTATTTTATAACAAAAATATCATCTAATTTTGTAATTTTAAGGTTAGAAAAATTTATTTTTACCAAAATAAATAAGTATTTTGGATTATTTGAAAGACTGTATAATATGGTATTTAAAAATGTGGTAGTTTTTCTAATCCAGCTTAAAGTGTAGGTACCTACATGAAGTTTTGTCAATACAAATAGTTATAAGTTCGACTGAATTTTATCTACATCGAAAAATCATAACTTTAAAAATTTTAATAAATCACATGTCATGGGAGTATTACATATTTTCACATTGCAAGTTTCTCTAAAAATTGTTTGTTTTCTTATAATTTAACTTAGGTAGGTATACCGAGAGGTATGAACAAGTTTTGTCATTAGAAGTATAATTTATACTGTATAAAAGCTTCAATTTAATTTGAACCATATTCTACAATTATATAGTATACCTATTTTTATTAATGACCATATTAACACACTCTTCCAAATAATCCACTTATTTATTTTGGTCAAAATAGATTTTTCTAACCTTAAAATACAAAATCAGATGATATTTTTTGTTCTAATACATTAACCTACCTTTGATACAGATATTCTTATTTCATAATAGAGATTAGATTTTTTTTAAATAAATGTGTTGTCGAGTGTGTTGTAGTTAAAACTATTTTATGGAGAAATGTAGACCCAATGCACAAAAATATCACTTATTTGGCACCATACACTTTAGAATTTCATTAAATGCAGTATTTAATAAATACTATTTATATTCCTATATTCTTAAACCAACTATTAATAACAATTATTGTTATTGTGATACTATAAAGATATATTAACTTTTAACGCTTAAACATAAGCGGTAGCACTATAAATATTATTTCTTTCATTGACTATACTTTGACAGATACATAACCTGAAAAGCCTTAAATGCCAAATTTTCAAAAGACTGCGTTCCGTACCTAACTATATGTAGGCAACCCATGCATACCTCTCGCCTCTGTAGCACGATAGATAGTCCTATAAAGGTGGAATGCCTTAAGCTTCTAAGTAAGAATTTCTTACCTTCTGGCCAAATTACTGACCATACCGCTTCTGCTTGTAAGTTTTGAAGGGACACAGCTGGTCCTGTGGCCCACTCTGCGAAAAGTAAGCAGTGGGCCCTTATGTTCTGTGATGTTCTGTGAGTGGGCCCCACTACTTACTTTTAGCAAAAGCTTTTAAACAAATTTAACATTTAATGTTAAACAGCATTATTTTTGAGAAGCAAGACATGTCAATTTTGTACCTTAAAGACGTCTAAAATGGACGTAAAATGTCACGTGTTTATAACGCTTTTCTGTTTGCTGGGAGTCCCCAATAAAGTATTTCAGGACGGCTAGAGGATGTCTTACTTAGGACGTTCTGGGGACCGACGATTTGGTAACATCAGATGTCCCTGGTACGTCCTGCGGAAGGTTCAGGACCTGATTCGGACGTACTCGGGACTTACTAATGTCTGATACAAGATATACTCAGGACGTTTCCAGTACTTCTTTGTGCTATCTGGGTACTACAGTAGGTACTTCCTTCCTGTTCTGTAAGTCCATTTGTAGATAAGATTAAAATTGTATGTACTTTTATTTATATTATGATTTATAACAAATGCTTATTTTTGTATGTATGTAAGTCAGTATTACAAAGTTTTAAACAATGTAAATTATCGGGCGATCTCAAGGTTTTTAAAACATTCTTCTCGCCATTTAAGGCGGTTATTCTCTTTAAATCAAGTGACAGTATAGTTTCTGCGCACCCTGTGCAATAATTGTTTGCCCATATGGCATGATTATACGGTTTGAAAACCAGAAGTATTATTAACATTTGATCGAATTTCGCACGGTAAAATTTGACATTGAGCTTGGAGTTTGTATCAAGTTAGGCGTTTAATATGTGCAAGAATAAACGTTTAGTAATAGCATAATTAAATAACAATTTTTAACTGTTAATTTGTTGTGGGGCCTTTATATTAATATTAATGAGAATTTTTAACTTTATATTATTCATATGCCAAGTCGGGTTAGCAATAATTATTATTGACTGGGTAATATGATGACGTCACAAGTCTTCTTGACATTTTAAAAAACAAAAAAGTCGAATAAATACCATCTAAAGCGATATTAAAGCATTATATAAAAAACATTCCGTTATGTCCAAAATGTACGTATTTATTACGAACATTATTAAGAACCCACTTTATTATGTATGAATCATTTGAACTATTACCAAAATAATTCGCCACGTTAATGCTATAATTAGATAACTGTAAAAATTGTACAACAAAAAGAACTGTGGTTTCATTTTATTTATTTTTGAAGTAACTTTTTGACGTAAAAAAATATTTCAAAATGGCGTCGTACTGACAAAAGGTCACTTTTTCAATGGGAAGTGGGGTAATGTGACATATTTTTGAAAAGGTCTTTGCAAGCAGATCATAACCCAAATATATATTGTATACAGGGTTTGTAAGAAATAATAAGCATAACATAAGATTTACTTTTAAAATATATTTAAGATATTATAGTAATGACCCAATTTTGAAAATGGCGCCGTTAGGTATAAGTTTCATTATTTTAATCCCTGCTATACTTCCTATTAAAAAAAAATTGACCTTTTGAAGATTATTTACGTCTTGTTAAAAACGCTAAATTTTTAACTCCATCGGTTCAAAAAATTAAAGGACTGATATTTTTACGCGCTTGGAAATAAAAAGGCAAGAGGGAAATTTTGTTTCAATAAAAAGCAAATGAAAAACTCGCACCGCACCATTTTTTTTATTTACCCAAAAAAGCCATAGCCAAAATTTCGTATCTTAATTTTGTAGTGTTTAAAAGTTAATAATTTTTTTGAAATTTTTTAACACCCTGTAAAAAGAAAACCCTGTAGAGCATAATTTCATATAAAAAACTATACACTGTTAAATTTTCAACATTGTTGGTACACCCTGTATATATTGTACACAAATAAAAAAATCGTTAGATAAACCATTTCAGCTTATATTAAAAAAATAATCCCAAAATCAAAAAAACTTTTTTATCCAGCAAAAAAGTATAAAAAAAACAAACTATAAGAAATAATTATGAATTAATAAATATTCATTAAACTAATAAAATTAATTTTAAAACATTGTTAGAACACCCTGTATAAATATTGTAGCTTTTAGATATTATTAGATAAAAAAAACACAAATAAAAAAATCGTTTAGCTAAAACCATTTCAGCTTCATCAAAAAAATTTTTTCCCAAAATCAAAAAAACTGTTTCATCCAACAAAAAAACAAAAAGTTCCAAAAAAGTATGAAAATTGATCCATGGTGCCCAAAAATAAAATCACAAACAAAATTAGAAAAAAAAAATAGAATTCCTAATTAAAAACTAAATATTCTTTAAACATTGAACTAATAAAATCAAAAATTTTAAAACCTTTTAAAACCAAAAATTTGATCCAATAAGATAGGCCCAATATTTTTTATTATGTGTTGCCAAGTTGAGTTGTTTGGTAAGTTTTCTTAAGAACCACTATTAGAAGTGGAATATTTCATCTAATGAGATACAGTGTTGCCATTTGTAACTTAAATGTTTAAAACTGTAATAATGCTCCTAAAAAATTGAAATTTCCGTGTTGCCCCCTACGGCGCTTTTTTATTAAACAAAAAATGTAAATTTTAAACAATTGATATAAGCAATACTTTCTGTACCTATTTAGTCATTTCTGGGACACCCTGTATATCAATCAGGAAAACTTTTTTTAAAATAAAAATACAGAATCAAATATCCCTACTTATAATTTTGTTTGCAATAGAATTTCTATTATAGAAAGCACATTGTTGTCATTTTTTACAGTAGGTATTTAAAAAACAAAATAATAAAAATAAAATGTTTAAAACTAAGAATCCTATTGACTCCATTTTATCTAGTAAATTTGATAATATGATAATTGCAACCATTATAAAAAGCAATTGAACACATGCAGTAGAAAAAGTTGGGTTAGATATTATGCTATATATTGCCTAATAATATTAACCCAAAACAAAATGTTTTTTATATTTTTAAATTAAAAATGAGTAAAAAAAGTACTTACATTAGATGAAATAAGTCTATGCTGCAGAGTGGGGCTGTCTAGTTGAGGCACTGGTGGAGTCTTCATGTCAAACACCCCGGGACTTAAGTCTATGTCTCTTAGGAGAGGATCCATGGGAGGAACAGGCTTCGATTTTCCGGGCAGAACGTTTTCAGGACACAAAAACACCTCAATCTCCCCCTCCTGGCTTTTCATTTGGATGCTGTACTTATCGTCTTGGTCCAGCCCTTTAGGCACTGACAGCTGAGTATTGGGGGGCGCTTTTATGGCCATTACAGTCTTGTGTTTAAACCTGTCAATCGAACGAAGGTCCTGATAAGTTACATAACCGTAAGAGTGCTTGTTGAGTTTACAGAGCTCGTTCTCAACAAGAGATATTTTTTGGTCCAGCTCGTTCTCCTGGTCCTCCAGCTGCTTCATCTGTCTGGACAGGTGGAGGTAATGGCTGCTCTCCTTGCCCCCCTTCCATTGAATGTTGTTTTTGGACTTTTTCTCCAAAATCCCGATGCCCTCCAGCACATTGGTTATGTCGTAAATCCTCCTCTTTTGCACTTTCAGTTCCAGCGAGGCCTTATTCAAATCCACCACTCCGTTGGGAGACACCTTAAGCAAGTCGGAAAACCTCTTGGTCAAGAGACTCAGCGAAGTGTCGTATCTGGTGTACTTTTTCGCAGGCGGCGGTTTTTTTTGCTTTTTGGGCGGCGGGGCTTTGAACTCCTGCTTGATCGGTACAATGTAGTTGTGTGTTTCCAGGTTGAGTTTTCGCTTTACGGCAGGCGCAGAGGTGAGGATGCCCGACGACATGACCTGGCTGATTGGGGTGGCCCCATAGCCGTGGTCAAGCAAGTGTGGACTCGGAGTGAACTCCTGCTTGACAATTGTCATGTCGGGGGTGGATATTGTTTGGTACTGATGGCCATCGCTATGTCGTATTCCACGAGACATTTTTCGAGTTTAGATTAGAAATAATTACGCGTTTTAATTCATTAGTTACGAGTTTAAATAAAAATGTGTCTGCTAATCTTTGTATTCTTGGAGTTTGTTACCTGAATCTGTGGAAAAAATAACACAGCTGTAAGAACTAGTTAGGCTACAGATAAGACACGTTTTATTTTTAGTAGGGAACACACTGCTTTGGCCAAAACTTTAGATTAAAAAAATTGTCCAAAATCATCAAAAAACAGCCGCCATATTGTTAAAATAATAGTAAAAAAATCGGAAAAGCATATTAATAGACAAATAATATTCATTTTTTCATGGTGAATATAATTCTTTACCACATTATTAGGGGACAATGCAGGGTCAATTCTTTCCATGGGGTCATATTAAACACCATATCTTTGTGAATTTTTAATATTGTTCAAAAAAACTTTATATTAATTTAGTAAAAAGTATACTTAATCATATGCCTTTCACCCAATCCCAATATCATTCTTTATACCTTGGTAAAAAATCTTTTTGATTCGCCAGTCGTGTTCCCCCCTCAACGAAATTAATTGCCCATTAGTAAACAATAATCCAACAAATAATAATAAAGTAAAAACATTGATAATATTGTAAATAATTCGGCAATTAAACCACGCTTAAAAAACCGTTGATGTGCACTGGGGAGGGTCAATAAAACAAAAGTAAAGGACAGCAAACGAAAGGATTTTTCTACGGCGAATCGAAAATAAATAAAATAAAATTAACATATTCCCAATAATTGCGTTGTTGGTATTACGATTAAGTTAAATTAAGGCCTAAATTAAATAGGTTTATGTGAAGTAACCCGGCAAAATAAAAGACGAACGTAGTAAAGCAAAACCGCCATTCATGAAAGGTTCCCTTGAAACAATCGAATAAACTAATAAGAACAGCCTACCTTAGTTTTATAATTTGGACTTCGAAGATGCACTACACTCGAACAATTCGTTTGTTTTGTTATTCTTTTGCCAGCACTTTTCTAAAATTCATGATCCGGAATACTAAACAAAATGGTTTCCAAACTACTTTGTTAAAAGCAGGAGGGCTGACGGGAATCACGAGCTTACACAACATCGAGGCAACAGTAATAACTTTTATTTTTCGGTTTTCATGTTCAGCAAACTATGGGCTTTAACGTGATATAATTTGTTTTGCAGTGTGAACTTCGGATTGGCAACAAAAAAATATTAAAATAGAACACGGTTGTGCTTAGCGTGTACACTTTCAGTGTTGGTTACGAAAACATCTGCTATCTGCACCGGGCATTGGCGCGAACACTTGCGCACGCGCAGATTGTGGCTCCACAGATGATCTCACGAAAAATCCTCTTTTACCTGGACCTTCAGCTGCCAAGAGGACCTTAATAAATTATATCGAAGCATATATCGGCAATTCAGAACGATACCAAGACACTTTAACGCGAATCAGGCCGTTTCATTTTGCTAACCTCATTGACAGAACACTGATATCGAATGTAAACAAATATGGCAGTTGGTTGGCGGGGGAATTCAACTGTGGAACTAACTCATCTGCATAGACGCTTTCCGGGGGTGGATTTTCTCCCTTCAGGTATTAGATTTTCTCTCTTTTTATTCCGAAACATCCACATCTCTCCAAACAGCCAACTTAATACATTATTAGCTTAATACGGCGCTTTTTAGTTGGACGGGTCATTGTTTTTTGTACCTACTATAAAACGGCGGGAAAAATAATTTTACTGTATTTTGCGTAATGTACAATACACGACTTTAAAATTTTCTACGCCTTATGAATCATTTCTTGTTTTTCTTTCACAACAAGATGGCCAGTTTACCACTGTATTTTTTAATACAGCACTAAAGTAATTATTTTATTATAACAATTCTTATCTGATTTTTATTTATTTTTTAATTCATCACTTATATTTGATGTGTTACCATGACAACTGCTACTAGATGTGGATTATTTAATCAAGTTATACAGCGTTGCCGATAAAAACTACCTACCTACAAAAAATTATTAACATAACATAGCATATGGTAGATCTTAAGAAATTAAAATGGTCTATCCTGAATGGTAAAATTTTCGTCGGTTATCTATTGTGTGAAGTTCTTGAAGGGAGAGACTATTTTCTTTTTGGGGTGGCAAGGAAAGTAGCACGAGCCGTTGTAGTCGGTTACATATTATTATACAAAATAATTACTACTAGATCTTATTGTGCAACAGCTGCGACCCTTACAGATCCAAGCAAGCTGCCTTCCTTCAACCGAACAATTGAACTGGAATTTTTACCGAAACTTTGCCATCATTGTTTTTAGTTTTACTTTCGATTCAAGAGTTTCAATAGTAAGGAAATATAATATATTATTATTATTATATTATTATTTTAAAAAGAAAATTATTAAAAAAGACAAATAAAACAATTAAAATGTATTTCGTAAAACTAGAAAAAAATAAATGTTTACGTATAACTAGAAAAAAAATCTAAAACAAAAAATAATTTAAATTTGTATTTAAATTGTATTTTATTTCAATGTTTTTTTCATGGATAACTTGACAGAATACATTTTTGTAGTTATTATTGCACATGTGCATTTTTCTACTTAAAATTTTTCAATAAAATTTAGTACCAATAGAGGGGTGGTGAATCCAGTGCCATGCTTGGATTTTGTTTAAAAAAATCGCTAATATGCATTCTTAAAAATTTTCTCTTAAAAACTGACATAGTAGGCCTTGTATTTTGTAAAAATGTAGCGTTTTTTGCTCCAAAAATGGTTTATCAAGATCTACACGTTAAAACAAATCCAGTTAAAATCGCACAATAAATAAAGATTTTACAGGGGTGAGTCGCAAACAAATGGGTAAAACTGTATATTTAGCAATAAAAACAACAATTTTGAAATTATTACTTTATTTTGAGTATTTAATATAAAGATCCCGTTATTTTTAAGAAGAAATATGACATGCCACTGCTTTTTTTGTCCAGTTAAAACAATAAAAAATATTTTTTTGTATACCGATTTTCGAAAATTAATATGAATTTTTCCCACTTTTTTAGGATGTTTTCTGATTTTTTTGTGGTCGGGGCTCAGGTTAAAAATTAATTTAAAAATCTGAAACTTTGGGAGTCCCTTTAGAAGAGTCAAAAAGTAAAAAAAAACCTTGTTTAAAAAAATATGATTTTTTTCCACTTTTTAAGAATTTTTTCTGATTTTCTTTTGTAAAAGTGGTCGGGGCTCAGGTTAAAAATTAATTAAAAAATCTGAACTTTGGGAGTACCTTAAGAAGAGTCTAATAATAAGAAAAAACGTCGTTTGAAAAGAAATAGTATTTTTTCCACTTTTTCAGGATTTTTTTGTTAAAGTGGTTGTTGGCTAAGTAGTAAACATACACATTTATCTACATTTTCATCCAATTCTTGATTTTTTTCTCTCACTGGATTTTAAGATAACACCACCACTTTTGTTTTTTCTATGGCCAGTGGCCATTGGCCACCATATTAGATATTATATTTTCTAGTTAAATTTTCTACAAAAATATGTCTTCTACATTGTTGCAAGTCTCTTAATTAGCGAGTTCTGAATATTTTTATGTCATTAAAATTTCATTTAACTATGCAGCGTTAAACCACATCATCAATATCAATATTTTTGTTCAACATTAATTTTAGACTTTAAACAAATAATTTAAATGATACCCAAGTAAAAAAAGCAACTTGGGAAATAATGTAAACTATACTACAAAGAAGGATACCTACTTGGTGCACCCTGTATATAATATATTTTTAGGGTATTCTGTAAACTTGTTTTTTTTTAAATATAAAGAAATCAATGCCACAAGATTACCAAATAAATTAATTTACTTTAGAATGAAGGGACACTCCCTTCAAGGAATTTTTTACCTGTGCACTATACATAGGTATACGAGGTGTGTTCAGAAAATATCGGGAATTTTCGTTTTTTGAAACAAATATTTATTTATTTGTCTACTTTAATGTTGTCGCCTTCAAAATAGTCCCCATTGGATATTATGCACATGTGCCAGCTCTTCTTCCATACTCGAAACACTTCTAAAACTCGATCTTTGGGATAGCCTTTAGTTCTTTCAGCGATGCGCTTTTAATGTCATCTATGCTTGCAAAACGACGGCCCTTTAAGGTTCTCTTTATTTTTGGGAATAGGAAAAAGTCAGACAGAGGCATGTCTGGCGAATATGGAGGCTGGGGCATCATTACAGACTGTAATTTACAGTATTAAACAATTGTTTTTGGCCAAAAATGTTGTTCAAAATTTAACAATTTTAGAACAAATTTTGCTGCCACGCGTTTCATACCCAAAACATTCGAAAAAATTTCATGGGATGAGCCAATCGATATACCAACATCATCAGCGACTTCTCTGATAGTTTATAACCATTTCTTCCACTTTTTCCATGTTTTTATCGGTTGTTAATGTGCTTGTGCGTTCGGGGCGTTCGTCATCTTCAACGTCTTCACGGCCATCTTGGAAACTCTTATACCACTTAAACTCTTGTTTTACTTATAGCAGACTCACTATAGGCTTTTGTTAACATTTTATTTTTTATGCAAAATTGGATACAAATTCTTTGATCCATTCCTTTTAACGAACGAAAAATGGCCGAGCTCATAAAACACGTCTAACCTTAGCGGCTGCCACTGAGAAAGTAAACAATGGAAACATCTAAAGTTTTTATCATACTTCGGGGGCATGTATACCAACATAATAAAGAAAATTTTATGACAACCGGACCCTCTGAACCCGCGAAATTTAACAATTCCCGTTATTTTCTGAACACACCTCGTACAGAGTAGGCTATATTACTCATAATTCAGATATGGTATTTTTTAATGGTCCACATGTAAATATTTATTTAAACAAATATTTCAAATTATTTAAAAAATTTTAAATGTAAGCTTATTAATTAAGTGAAGATAAGGGCTCGTTAAAATAACACACACAGCACCTTGCCTGTTTAACAGGAAATAAGTAATTTAATTCGTTATTAAAAGTAGTTTAAATAATGCCTTTTTTCTCCATCTGTATAACACTATTGGATGGTTAACTATTTTTTACTCCCACCTTTAAAACGACGATTATCTTACATGTTTCCATGACACTATAAGGTCATGACCTTTTAAATACACATTGAAAAGATGTGGCTTTATGCCGTTTTAGTCACGGGCTGAAGTTAGCTTTAAGTTAGCTGACAGTTGTCAAATGTCATATATAACATCATGATTGTTAAAAAAACAATTTAATAATTTTCACTCTCTCCGCAATGGAATAAACCATTTTTTATCGAATCGAAAGAAAATAAAAGCACAGAAAACATTTTTTTCCATGGAAATGCATTGCTCGGCGACGCGTACCTCAAATTTAACAAACGAAGTAACATTTTAAAGAAAATTTAATGTGTAAATATGTTCCCCTGAAAACAAAAGTAGGGTAAAGTAGACAGTTATCGGACACTTTATAGTTATTGGACAATTAACATTAATACTGTAAAAACAAGAGTTCTATAAATACCTAGTTACCTTAAAGTCAAATCATTAGATGCTGTATACAATTATAACCATCTCAGTCGGTAATAATATAGAACTACTTTATTTTGGGTCCAATGTAGGACAAAAAAGTTCGCACGGTACTTTGGTGGTAAGATTTTTGTTTTTTTGTTAAGAGCAGGGCTGTGTTTAAATTACAATAAAAAATATTTCTAAAAAGTGTACAGATCAGTGTGTGGTATAAATGTGTTCCTCATGATTTAAACATTGTAACTTAATGCGTTTTAATTTTAATTTTGAAATCATTACGGTAAAATGGCCAGTGTCCAATTACTGGTTGGTAAAAATGTAAATTTCTATTATTGGACATATGTCCAATATCATACTCTATTTATATCCCGGGCATTTACCAGCCAATTCTTATGTAAAATTGTCCCCTGAATCCGAAAAGACCGTCAAAAACTATAAAAGTTAAGCAGTTTTTGAGATATAGTCAATTCCATGTTACATGTAAAATTGATTATATTTCAAAAACTGTTCTACTTTTATAACTTTTGACGACATTTTCGGATTCAGCGAATAATATTTCATAGGAATTGACTGCTAAATGTCCTGGATACAAATTGCTGTTGACGAGAATTATTAGTAGCTGCTTTTTCGCTATGACATTTTTGACTAATTCATTTTTAGAGAGTAAGTAATATAGCGATTTCTTCGTCACAGGACATCTTGCAGAATAACAGTGCATGATAGAGAACATAAAAAACGAATGGCAACAAAATTAATATATTCGGAAAATACTTTTAACATACCACCCGAAAATATTAGATATATATAAATCATCCTGTTCCGGCCTAAACATTATAAATGCTTCAAACTAGAGATACCACACTTAATGATATTTGCAACAAACTATTTCAGAAGTCAGACCAAGGAATTAGTAGTTACCTTCAGAATCCAGAAAATGGACGAGGAATCCGAGAAAGAAATATATGAATTATAATTATAATATAAATATGATTTTACAAAAACGAAATAAAAAAAATTACCTAAAACAGCAATTTATCTTTAAAAAATATTTAACAATTTATTTTATTTGATGTAAAGTTGTTATGTTTATATAAAAATTGTATGTCCAATAACTGTCCAATTAACATAAATATAAATGTCCAATTACCGTACTTTTTTGCATGTTTTTATAAAACTATTATTAAAAATTCAAATATTATTATTTTTATAGATAAATTTTTAATAAATAATATTCCTTATGTGGCTCCGAAGATTTATTTTAATTTTCACATACAAAGCAGTAAAACTTGCTGGTCACCCTGTATATATCTACGTATTAGAATTAGTTTAAAAACAAATGCGATAAGATGTATTAAAATAATTGGTATGAAACTACTTCATTATTATATAAAAATTTTGACATATAGAACATGAATAATGTATAAGTTTATATCGCGGTTATCATTTTTAAAAAGTATCTGCCTAATATTAGTGTTTGCTTTGAAATGAATATTGAATTTAGAGTCCGCTCTGAAAATGTACAGGAAAAAGCAAACTTTTTTTCAAAGCTATCATTTTTGTAAGCGATAATTTTAATTTATATAATAAGTAGGTACAGCGAATTTTCTAGATGGATATTACCCTATTACATAAAAGGTCTAAAAAACCGACTCGATGTGACCGATTTGTTTCAACATCCAAAAACAATGTGTTCCGAGAAACTGGGAACCGAATTGGAGAAGTACTGGTCGGAGGAACTTCACGAAAGTCAAAAAAACAAGCAAAAACCCAATTTAAGTAAAACATTAAAAAAAATATTTTTCAAACAATACTTGGTGAGTTCGTTGTACATATTTTTGGAAGTAACTGTCTTTAGGTAGGTAAGTGGATAAAAATAAATCCGAAGAAATGTTTGGGTTGTATTTTTAGGACTCTTGCCACTTTGTCAATGTCCATTTTTATCGAACTGTTTTCGGAAGACAATGCCGATAAAAATACCGAAAAATATATCACCGCGACAGTATACTGGATGTGCAATATTTCTTTTATCATTCTTTTGGAGCGTGGATATTATAAACTAGAAATGTTGTCTATAAAAGTCAGAGTTGCACTTTCATCCCTAATTTTTAGAAAGGTAGGTTTTCAATTTGCTATTTTGTATTTTTGCATATTTAAAAATAGTAATTTTAATAAAATATTTTTCATAATACCTACCTACTAGTTTAGATATGTTATTAGTGTCATAACAGTACTATCTCCTTCAACAAAATGTCACCTATATCGGACCATGTATTGATAATTATTATTATTATAATTATATTGGCCTAGGACGTTAAGATTAACAGTACAGTTTGTAGGTTTGTACGTTGACATTGTTAAATTGATAAAGGCACATTTTTAGTAAAAAAAATATTTACAATACAAAATTATGTAGGTACACTTGCTCGCATATGCGAGCAAGTGTTGAAGTTAATTACGCAGTTGTTGATATTAGAAGGGACAAAGGGTGAGTCATTTAATTTGAAACTTTGAAAAAACCCAGTTGGTATGCATTTTACGAAAAAATGTTTAAAATAAAACCCTGATAGCACACTTTATTCTAAGAATGTTTTTTAAACCTTCCAATGAGAATATTCTTAGGATCATGCTATATTTCTTATACTGGCCTCTAGGCAGGTTCTATAGAAGGTTCTATAGAAGGTGCAAAGTTTTAGTGGTAAAAATTAGTCTACTCTAAACATATGCTTAGAATGCTAAGAAAGTAATTGCTATAGAAAGTTCATTTAGGAATACCCTGCTGAAAATGACGGATGATTGCGGATATAAATTCTTCGTCAAAACCGGATAAAAGCAGATGATTGCGGGTATAAATTCTTCGTCGAAGCCGGATAAAAGCGGGTAAAAATATCATCTGATAACATCTGCTTTTGTCCGCATCGCTATATCCGCGAACACCCGGTTGGTTGTGTTTTATGTCCGGTTAGTGCACCCCCGCAATCATCTGCAATCATCTGTTTTTAACCGTCTTCACTGTGTTTCGTATATATCTGAATTTGTCCGGAATCATCTGCAAACGTCTGCTTACGTCTGTTTTTATCCGCGATTACCTGCATTTTTTTTCGTCTATTTTTGTCGGGTTTTATCTGCAAACGTCTGGTTTTATCTGCGAGCATATGCTTTTACCCGCGAACATCTGATTTTATCCGCCAACATCTGCTTTCATCCGCGAACATCTGCAGTCACCTGCGAACAACTGCTTTTATCCGCGAACATCTGCAATCACCCGCGAACATCTGCAATCACCCGCGAACATCTGCTTTCATCCGCAAACGTCTAGTTTTATCTGCAAACATCTGCTTTCATACGGTTTCACCCACAAACATGCTTTTATCTGCGAACGCCTGATTTCATCCGGTTAGTGCACCCCCGCAAACATCTGCTTTTATCCTCGAACATCTGCAATCACCCGCGAACATCTGCTTTCATCCGCGAACATCTCATTTTATCCGCGAACATCTGCAATCATCCGCGAACATCTGCTTTTATCCGCGAACATCTGCAATCACCCACAAACATCTACTTTTATCCGCAAACATCTGCTTTCATCCGCGAACATCTGCTTTTATCTGCGAACATCTCATTTTATCCGCGAACATCTGCTTTTATCCGCAAACATCTCATTTTATCCGCAAACATCTGCTTTTATCCGCAAACATCTGCTTTCATCCCCAAACATTTGCTTTTATCTGCAAACATCTGATTTTATCCGCAAATATCTGCTTTTATCCGCGAACATCTGCTTTTATCCGCAAACATCTCATTTTATCCGCGAACGTCTGCTTTTATCCGCAAACATCTGCTTTCATCCCCAAACATTTGCTTTTATCCGAAACATCTCATTTTATCCGCGAACATCTGGTTTCATACGGTTTCACCCGTAAACATGCTTTTATCTGCGAACGCCTTATTTCATCCGGTTAGTGCACCCCCGCAAACATCTGCCTTTATCCGCAAACATCTGATTTTATCTGCAAACATCTGCTTTTATCCGCAAACTTCTGTTTTAATCTCCAAACATCTGATTTTATCCGCAAACATCTGCTTTTATCCGCAAACATCTGATTTTATCCGCAAACATCTATTTTAATCTGCAAACATCTGCTTTTATCCGCAAACATCTGATTTTATCCGCAAACATATGCTTTTATCCGCAAACATCTGATTTTATCGGCAAACATCTGCTTTTATCGGCAAACATCTGCTTTTATCCGCAAACATCTGATTTTATACGCAAACATCTGCTTTTATCCGCAAACATCTGCTTTTATCCGCAAACATCTGATTTTATCCGCAAACATCTGCATTCATCCGCGTTCGGTTTGCCTGTATTTCCTTTGTCCATTTCGGTCCTGTTTCGTACGCAAACGTCTGGTTTCATTCGCGCTTTTTGTTTTCCTTTTTCTCGTGTATACTTTAGTTAAGTTTACCTGCTTTGTCAAATTTTACTGAGCTTTAACTAACTGGTTGTTAGCCGTTCACGGCTCACAACTTTATAACTCTAAAAAGAATTATTTGAATAAAAACAACCTGTAAAGAAAATAAGTTTATTCAACACGACATTTTCTCAATGGGAAAATAATTTAATTATATTCACCAGATTTAAATTTAAAAATCAGGTATACTATAGTGAAGAGTACCACAGAAATAATAAGTCTATTAATTCTTACATATATATTAAAAATATTGGTTATGCCAAAATTAAAAAGTGTTTTTCAAACAAATTCCATACAAATTGAAGATGTTATAATTCCAAATGTATTTGAAATTAAACATATATGTTTTCTAACAATTAATTTAAATGTAAGCTTAATGATTAAAAAATATCTATTTATGTCCTTAAAGTCAGGAGAAAAAGGAAAACAAAAAGCGCGAATGAAACCAGACGTTTGCGTACGAAACAGGGCCGAAATGGACAAAGGAAATGCAGACAAACCGAACGCGGATGAAAGCAGAGGTTTGCAGTTAAAAGCAGATGTTTGCAAATGTTCGCGGAAAGCTCAGTAAAATTTGACAAAGCAGATAAACTAAACTAAAGTATACACGAGAAAAAGGAAAAAAAAAAGCGCGAATGAAACCAGACGTTTGCGTACGAAACAGGACCGAAATGGACAAAGGAAATGCAGGCAAACCGAACGCGGATGAAAGCAGAGATTTGCAATTAAAAGCAGATGTTTGGAGATGTTCGCGGATAAAAGCAGATATTTGCGGATAAATGCAGATGTTTGCGGATAAAATCAGATGTTTGCGGATAAAATCAGATGTTTGCGGATTAAAACAGATGTTTGCGGATAAAAGCAGATATTTGCGGATAAAATCAGATGTTTGCGTATAAAATCAGATGTTTGCGGATAAAATCAGATGTTTGCGTATAAAATCAGATGTTTGCGTATAAAATCAGATGTTTGCGGATAAAAGCAGGTGTTTGCGTATAAAATCAGATGTTTGCGGATTAAAACAGATGTTTGTGGATAAAATCAGATGTTTGCGGATAAAAGCAGATGTTTGCGGATAAAATCAGATGTTTGCGTATAAAATCAGATGTTTGCGGATAAAAGCAGATGTTTGGAGATTAAAACAGATGTTTGCGGATAAAAGCAGATGTTTGCGGATAAAATCAGGTGTTTGCGAATAAAATCAGTTGTTTGTGGATAAAATCAGATGTTTGCGGATAAAAGCAGATGTTTGCGGATAAAAGCAGATGTTTGCGGATAAAATCAGATGTTTGCGTATAAAATCAGATGTTTGCGTATAAAATCAGATGTTTGCGGATAAAAGCAGATGTTTGCGGATAAAAGCAGATGTTTTCGGATAAAATCAGATGTTTGCGGATAAAAGCAGATGTTTGCGGATAAAATCAGATGTTTGCGTATAAAATCAGATGTTTGCGGATAAAATCAGATGTTTGCGGATAAAATCAGATGTTCGCGGATAAAACCAGATGTTTACGGATAAATGCAGATGTTTGCGGATAACATCAGATGTTTGCAGATAAAATCAGATGTTTGCGGATAAATGCAGATATTTGCAGATTAAAATAGATGTTTGCGGATAAAATCAGATTTTTGGAGATTAAAACAGATGTTTGCGGATAAAAGCAGATGTTTGCAGGTGAAATCTTATGAATCAGACTTTTGAGGACTAAATGAGATGTTTTCGGATTAAAACAGATGTTTGTGGATTAAAATAGATGTTCGCAGATGAAAGTAGATCTTCACGTATAAAAGCAGATGTTTGCAGGTGAAATCGGATAAAGCAGACGTTTGCGGATTAAAGTAGATGTTTGCGGATAAAATCAGATAAAACCGGGTGAATGCAGATATAAACTTAAATACAGGTATTTTCGGATGAAAACAGATAAAAGCAGACATAGATCTAAATAGATAAAACCCGACGTTCGCGGATAATATTTATACCCGCAATTGCAGATAAAAACCGACATGCCGGGTAAAATCAGATATGTCGGATAAAAACAGATATAAATGGACATAAAACTAGCTTGGTTTTTTATCCGCAATCATCCGATATTACCCGTCTTTTTCAGCAGGGTATTCCTGTCAAGCATATTTAGTTCAGTTAACTATATAATAGTAAAATATACCATAAACTACGTATAAAGGTATATATCTATACTTAAGTACCTTATTAATTAGTAATTAGTATTAAATACTAAGTAAAAAACACAATCCAAAATATTTTTTTATAGTTATTTGTCAAATTAAAACAATATTCGATAACAAAAGTACTTTTATTATAGGTATTTTATTTTATGTTAAAAATAAATAGTTATTAATTTGTATACCGATTTTTTATTTCTGAATTAATACAGGGTGTTATGTAATTAATGTTATATATTAAAATACTGAATACCTTTTGACATAAGGAATAAAGGAAAAATATTTTAAAAAGCATTTTTCCAAAGATAAGGAAAAAATATGCATTAGAAGTTTTTTATATTTTTTGTGATACGCCACTGGTTACACACTTGTTTATCTCTGCACACCTGTATTTTGTGAGTACATAGATACCAACCAACAAAGTAGCTATGCGTTGCCAGATGTAAAAAATTGTTAATAAAGATTTTTCTTGCAAAAAATAAATAAAAACTCAATAAATACAAAAGTTTTATGCCCTTAAAGCTCTAATACCCTTCTGTATTTATTTACTGTTCCAGCTATTAGCTTAAGCAATGATTAGAAAATTTAGTACCTTTGAAATTTGAAATCCATAACCACAAAATTAATTTTTTCATCAGTTTTTTTCTCTGTTTACTCAGATGAAATTGGGACCAGTTCACAGGTTAAACTTTAAACATTTAATTTGTGTAAATAAATCCAAAAGCACTTCCCTTAGTTAAGATATTTACAATTTGAAAACATAACCTAAAATTTAAAAGAAATGCACTAGATTCTGTCATAAAAGTTGGCAGATTTTTTTTGAATTTACCTTCAGTACAAAAATGAAATAACCAACAATTAATAAAAACGCCAAATTGACAATTTGCATTGTTAATTTTGTCATTTTTGTAATTAAGCTAAATTTAAACAATGTTTGTCAACTTTTTTGAGAGATTTTGGAAAAACTGTTGTTACCAACCATAACATAATAAATCCACCAGATTAACCTAAAGTTCCTAGTCGATCAGTGGCGTACTTTTTGGTAGGATAAAGGTTATTATAAATTATTTTTAGACTTTGGAATTTAGAAACAAAAAGTTTCAGGTGCTTCTTTATGGACCCTAAGGAACAACCCATTTTAATATATAACATTAATTACATAACACCCTGTATTTTTATGTATAATAATCCTAACTATCTTCAACTTCAATCTAATCTGACTTATCCCACAAAATTTTCCAATTTTACTTTTTATGAAATAATGTCAACTTATGGTTTAGAGGTCCAATTGTTTATTTAATATTTTTAAATAAATATATATTAATATGTCGCAAAATATTTTTGGGACGACAAATTTATTATTTGTCGTCTCCTGAAGAATTTTACGAATGTAGTCTACATTCGTAAAATTATGTAGAATACAACATATTAGAACGTGGGTATCCGACAAATTTGAAAATATTCTCAAAAGCTTCCTAGAAGCTCCATAAGAACATTCCAAAAACGTATTCTTAAAATGTTCTTAGGATGCTTTTAGGAAGGTTTTAAGAAGCTTTTAAGAATCTAATTGCATCATTAAAAGGGTATCTATTGAATGTTTTAAAAGCCCCTATAAGCCCCTATAAGCCCCTATAAGCCCCTATAAGCCCCTATAAGCCCCTATAAGAACATTCTTAGCAATAAGGGAAGGTTCTAAGAATATTCCATTATTCCGGGTCATATCTTCTTAGAATATTCTTAAAATCAAATTTTGCTACCAGGGTACTATAGTTATAACTGAGATATTTCAAAGTTTCAAGTTAAATGACTGTATTTGTTGTGATGTTTCTTATCGATAGTTACTGCTATTTTTCTTTCTACGCTATCACTTGAGAATGATGTTAAAGAATCATTGTCCGTTGATTTGAACAGCTGCTTCGAAATTTTAAGTTTCTTGGTAGATGATTGTTCAACATACTGTTCAGCAACTGCTGAAGATTTCCACCCCCCAAATTGTTTTAAGGTAAGGAGATCGAAATTTTTGTCCATAAAGTTTAAGGCGGGTAACTTTTCGATAGCTCAAACAAATAGCAGAGTAAAACATCTGCGGTTATTGTTTCAACTTGTTTTCTACATGTTTTCTGTTGAGCCAAATTTGAAGTGCTCGATATTCTTTTTCGTAGCGATCCTTGGTCGTTTCTGGCAATAAATTTGAACTTAATGCTGCCCCTTTAGCACGAATATTTTATTCAATGTCCATCACGTTTTTACCCAAATTTTGCAAATAAACAACCGTTACCAATAGCTATCAAAGCCCAGTTTTCTTGATTAAAGCATTGGTTTTGCTAGCTTGACGCTGTCAAATTCTAAATAATTTACGGTTGTTTTTTATATATATAGGTATTATTAAAAGGTATTATGAAAAGTATAGAACAACATACGGTCGATATCGTTCTCATTGTTGTATAAATCCTGATAAAATGGGTACAATACTACCTTTTTTGTACAAAAGTTGTACCAGGGATTCAGGGTGATCAGGTGAAGCTGGTGAACAAAGTGGGTATCATGTAAATGTACAGGTACATAGATACCCAAGTTATTCACAAGTTTTGTTCTGCTAAATACCGTAACCTCGTAGATACGTTTTTGAACAGAATCCAGTATAAAAATACACATATTTTAGATGCTAAAATTAAATCAAAAATCTTTGGAACAAACCTCAGCTGGCCATATGGTGAATCTACTATCTAATGACTTAAATAGAGTAGAAATATTCGTAAGGTTTTCATGCTATATTGTTATAGCTCCTTTGCATTTATTTATTATAACCTACCTTTCGTGGATTGAGGTTGGAGTTTCCTGCCTAGCTGGGATTATTTTTGTTGTCTTGGTATCTCTACCAATGCAAGGTAAGGAAAGCAACAATAATAAAAAGGCTGACAAATAAAATAAAATTTTTTAGGGTATATTGGGATGAAATCGGCAACCTTTCGCTCCAAGGTGGCCTCAAAATCTGATATAAGGACGAAGTTTATGAACGAAATCGTATCGGGAATCAAAGTGATAAAAATGTACGCTTGGGAAAAACCGTTTGAAAAGATTGTGGAAAAAATACGCAGCCAAGAGATGAATTACGTATATCGTTCGTTTCTTTTAAGCGGGTTGCCTTTTCACACCCACTCTTTAATTCACAAATTTACCGTATTTTTAATCATAATCAGTTGCTTTTTTCTATCGATTGATTTGACCGCTGCAAACATATTCACTACAGTTCAATACATGAATCTGATTAGGTACACAATGTTGCTAATGTTTCCAAACGCTGTACTAAGCATAGCAGAATCTAAAATATCTTTCAAAAGAATAGAAGAGTTTTTGCTACAAGAAGAAATAACCGACTTTATTGAGAAACAAACTGTTAATACTGACGTTTATTTGACTAATATCCATGCTTCCTGGTCCCCAAATTCCATCGTTTTAAATATTCCAAACTTTCACGTTCCCAGCGGTAAATTCTGCACTATTGTAGGACCAGTAGGTTCAGGAAAATCGTCGCTACTTCAAATATTGCTACGAGAACTTAAACCAATTTCAGGCACAGTTAAAATAAATAATTCTGTGTCGTATTGTTCCCAAGAACCCTGGCTGTTTTGTTCTTCGGTTAAAAACAACATTTTATTTGGACAAGAGTACAAGGAAGAAAAATACAGAGAAATCGTAAATATATGCCATCTAAACAAAGATTTCCATATATTCCCCCATGGTGATCAAACTTTGGTGGGTGAAAGAGGAGTAATGTTAAGTGGAGGGCAGAGGGCTAGAATCAATTTGGCTAGAGCTCTTTACAAAGAAGCAGAAGTGTATTTGTTAGATGATCCCTTATCTGCAGTTGACACGCATGTGGGTAGACACTTGTTTGATGAATGCCTTTTAAGGTATCTAAAGGGAAAAACTAGAATACTGATAACTCACCAGTTGCAGTATTTAAAGGAATCTGATGTAATTTGTGTAATGAATAATGTTAGTAAATAAGTGAATACATAGAAATTTGGAAAAAATTAATGAATGTTATAATTTAAAGGGGAAAATTGAAGCGTCTGGATCATTTGATGATTTGAAGGACGGAAATTTGGATTTTACAAGGTTTTTACCAAAAATAGAAAACGAAAGTGATAATTTAGATAACAGATCAAAAGTAAGTATACTGATAATAAAGAAATATATTAATATTAAAGTATATTTATTCTAGACACCTGATCCAATTTCTCTGAATAAATTAAACATTGAACATTGTATGTTGGCTAAAGAGCAAGAAACAATTCCCGAAAAAATTAATTCCTTTAAGGAATACGTAAAGGCTGGAGGCAGTACCTGTTTTATTTTCTTTTTTATTCTAGTTACACTTTTAGCTCAGGTTGCCTACAACTTTTCTGACTATTGGCTCATCTGGTGGTAAGATTTAAATTTTAGCTATACAGGGTGTCATCGATTGTTCACGCCAAAGTAATAAAGTTTTTCCTTTATTATCTTTGCATTAGCGCTGTTGTTTTTGAATAAAAAAATTTATGATGAAATATCTTAGGCTTTTTTTTGACAGCCACTGGTTTTGTTGCGTCAGCAACTGCTGTCGACGATCGAAGTATAGTCAGCCTGTTAAAATATCTGATAAGAACTACAGTTAAACAACTGGCCTACTCTACTTAGTTCGTCGACCCCAACCGCTTACACTTTAGGTAGGGCATGGTTTAAACCAGGGCTGTCCAACTTCAAGAGGCCCAAGGACCGCTGTAAATAAAATTGCGGTTGTGAAGGCCGCATCATAAAATATTTCGTTTACAACTTTATCAGTGATCTATAATAGGTTCAAAAAACGTGTTTATTTGGATAATTATTTTTATTTATTCAAAAACCCCTTTTTTGACGTATTTTACTATTACCTACCGGTCAATATATTTTTACCTTTTAGGACAGACAATTCGAAGAATCATATAAAGATAGAAATAATCAACATAAATAAAACCAAAGCAGTACCATCTTATCAATCAGACAAACGCACAAACGATGCATTGACCAATTCCGAAATAAGCTTGATTGCTTATGGTGTAACCATGATGATTTGCATTATTTTAACAATATTACGGATATATTTCACCAGCAAATTTATCTGCAAGGCTTCTAACAACTTGCACAAAAAAATGTTTAATTCCTTACTTAAAGCACCAATGAGGTTTTTTAGTACAAACCCAAGCGGGAGGATTCTAAACCGATTTTCTAAAGATATTGGTGCTACAGACCAGTTATTACCAGCTGCTTTACTGGAGTCCAGCCAAGTACCTACATTGTTTTATATTTCATATATTTTAAGTTCAGTTTTTAATTTTAGATAGTTTTGCTTTGTACTGGAGGATTGGTATTAATCTGCTTATCGAGCTATTACGTAGTTATATTTGTAGTACTATTTCTAGCCTGTATGTATTTGTTGTTTAGGCTGAACGAAAGAATAGCAGGTCAATTTAAACACCTAGAGGGGATAGGTAAGTAATAGGAGTATAAAGATAAGCGGTTTTAAATTGATCAATGCACCATGCTATTCAATTCGTTTTGTTAACCGCAATGCGTGATAAACTGTGTGAAATATAGGTGACTGTTTTCGACCGATAGAAATGTATTTTTGGACAATATCGCAAGCTTTTAACCTTTTAGCGAGGTATTTTGTGATTTGTCATTGTGTCATTGTCATCTATGTACCGTAGCCATAACTTTGGTTTTTGTGTTGCCGTTTCGATAACAAAAGCCATCTTATTCATGGAAGACATAGAAGTACGAGCAATCGAAACGGCAACACTAAAACCAAAGTTATGGCTACGGTACGTTGATGACACATTTATCATCTGGACCCACGAAGAAGCGGAACTGAAGAAAATTCTGGACCATCTCAACGGAATTCACAAAAAGGTCAAGTTCACAATGGAAACCGAGAAAGAACACCAATTACCTTTTCTGTCCTCTTAATCAAGAAAAATAATGGCAAACCACCACCCGTCACAACTGCTGGCGGATGATGACCACAAGAAACAAGAAGACCTAAAAATCCAAACGACGCTACAGCAAAACGGATTCTCCAAAACCATCATAAAAAAGGCTCTTAGACCACGACGCCGGTTAAATACCACAGAGGACGAAAACCACAAACCAACTTTGAAGGCCTTTCTTTCCTACGTCAAAGGGACAACCGAAAGAATAGGCAAAGTTCTCAAAAAACATAACATTGAGACCAAATTTACCGCCCCAAAAAAGATCGGTCATATACTTTCAAACGCCAAACCAAAAATAGAGTTAGAGGCAGAAGGGGTTTACGAAATTCCTTGTAAGTATTGTGACGTTCGACGTCTGTAAAACTTCCCATGAAATTGACTTTGAAAAAACAACGGTCTTGGCTAGCATCGAACACAGGACCAAACGTACCATCCGTGAAGCCGTTGAAATAGAAAAACGTTCAAGAAACCTCAACACAAGAGACGATACACAGAGACTGCCAACTGCATGGAAACCACCAAAACGCCACGCAGATTAACAAGATCAATGTAGCCGAACATAACACAGGTTAATACGCGGAAAGCTAAGAGGGTATATACACAACGATTAGCGGCAACGGAGCTCACTCCACGTCTAACTCGCAGCAGAGCAGCAACAGCAGCCCAGCAGATAAGACCTGAAGATGGTACATGAGATTGTACCGAAACGTCGTCAGACATACGGTTCTTTTAAGAACCAAAAACCGGCAACACGGAGCAGATCCCGAAAAACCATTAATACGTATAACGCCCGTAGAAACCTAAAGCAGAACAAAACAAAACAACGGAAATTTTTGTTTTGCCGCTTAACCCTGCCTAAATGGCTATACTTTTCCCATTCATTTAACACCCTAATATATATATGTATATATAACAAAATTAAATTTGTGTAACTTTTTTTTTTCAGCAAAATCACCCATTTTTACTCACGTTAACTATTCTTTAATGGGGTTAACAACTATTAGAGCAAATAAATCTGAGGAAAAGTTAAACCAGCAGTTTGATACGCACCAGGTACTAATTCAAAATATTGTAACGTTTTTGGTAACGAACTAAACGATTTATTTTTGTAATTTATGTATTTACATTGAAAACACAGAATCTATGAAAGTAACTAACAACTTAATTACTAATTATTTATATATCACTATAATAGTACAAGAGTCTATTAATTTCCACGTATATTTAATTTATTTCGTCGCGAGTACGAAAGCCTAACTAACTCCTCAACCCTCCAATAGGTCTTATATAATTTATATCCAGGACGTACGTGACCTACTACACGCAAGCACCTTCCAAAGTACAATTACAACATTTTTTCAGAACACGCACACTTCTGCAGAATTCCTTACTATATCTTCGGGTACTGCGTTAGCTGTATGGTTGGAGCTTCTATGTGTAATTTTAAATGTATGCTTACCATATGCTCTAATTTTAATCAACCAATATGGTAAGTGCGTAAAATTGTTTTAACAGGAAATCTTTAATAAATATCAAACTTCAGCTCACCCCGTACAAGATTCGTTCGTGGGTTTAGCTCTATCTCAATCACTAGCATTTAATGGGATTTTGCCATTCGGTATCAAACGTTGTACTGATGTTTGTAATTATTTTACATCTGTGGCAAGAATTTTATCATACACAAAATTAGAGGAGGAAACTCTGGAGAATCCAAAACACGTTATTTTAAAACAAACATGGCCTTGCTATGGCGAAATTGAATTCAGAAATTTGTATCTAAAATACAGTAAAAGTGATGATGCTGTGTTAAAAAATATTAGCTTTATTATAGGGGCAAATCAAAAGGTACCTCTACACAAGTATATTAGATTTTAAACTCCATAGACTTATAATTCTAGATCGGAGTAGTTGGTAGGACTGGTGCTGGTAAATCATCACTGATTACAGCCCTATTTAGACTTGCTGATGTTGAAGGAACCATAACGATTGACAATGTTAACATATCAGAAATAGGTCTTACGAATTTGAGACGGAAAATATCCATCATCCCGCAAGAACCGGTGCTGTTTTCTGAAACCGTTCGGTATAATTTGGACCCGTTCCAGGAATTTACAGATGATGAAATCTGGGAGGTCATAGAAGAAGTGAATATGAAGGGAGCCGTTGTGAGTTTAGATGATATGGTGCTGGAAGGCGGTAGTAATTTCAGTATAGGGCAGAAGCAACTTTTGTGTTTAGCAAGAGCTTTGCTAAGGAAAAATAAAATACTGGTGCTGGATGAAGCTACCGCTAATGTGGATCTAAGGTTTGAAGAAATCATCAGTATAAAATCATCGTGTTGTGATAATCTTTTTGTTCACAGAACGGACGAATTAATTCAAAAAACAATAAAAACGAAATTTTGTGCTTGCACAGTAATAACCATAGCTCATCGTTTGAATACTGTTATGGACTCGGATAAAGTGATGGTGATGGATGGCGGCGAATTGGTTGAGTTTGCCCATCCATACATTTTGTTGAAAAACGAAAAAAGCATGTTCCACAGTTTGGTGTTGGAGACTGGAGTTGGGATGATGCAGCAATTAAAGCAAATTGCTTACAATGAATATCACTTCAAAGTACAAGTGTATACATCTTAATTAAATATATTTAAATTGAGATCTTTGTTTTTTTATAATGCGCTTTTACAAATCCAAACAAAGGATTGGACAAAAATGGTGCCGGGATAAAATCAGCATGGGGAAAATCTGCAAAATCCGGATTTATTCGCAAATGTCATTTTTAATCGATGTGATTTTGTTTTTTGACCCTTGCTGCAGAAGTATTAAAATAATTGGTATGTAAATAATATCTAAAAAATTCCACATGGAACATGAATATTAGGGTGGTGCGTAATATGAATATTTTTAAAATTAAAAACGCCTGTATATAGAATACTTGTGTATGGTAAAAATAAATATTTTTAGTATTTTTTTTTAATTTCCTTCCACCGCCCCCAATCCATCTTAAATATAAAAATTATGATATTCAGACTAAGGTGGAAACCAGTATAAATTTTTTTAGCCAAGATGTTATTTTTAGCATAATTAACTTTTACCAAATAAAGCAATTTGATTTTCAAAAAAAAACAAGCTAAATGGGGTCAACTTTAAAATATATATATTTTCATATTTCAGATTAAGCGTTGATCCGCCGATTTACAATCTTTTTTTTTGAAAATCAAAGTGTCCAATTTTGGAAAAGTTACTATTGGTAAAAAAAAACATTTTGGTAGCAAAAATATATATTTTTAAATTCCTTCCACTGCCGCAGAGCCATGGCAAACATAAACATTATAATGTTTCAGCTGGAGAAAAAACGTTAGTAACATAAATATAATTTTTTTTGAGCTATAAGTAACTTTTCCAAAGTTGAGCGATTCAAAAAAAAACAAGCAAAATAGGCAGACCCCCAGTCGATGAAAATATTTGTATTTTTAAAATTGATCGGGGGCCCCCATTTATCTTGTTTTTTTTTGAAAATCAAAATGGTTATTCCCTAAAAATATCTTGGCTAAAAAAAAATTTTAAACGTTTTTTAACCTCTTATAATTTTTATATTTAGGATAGCTCTGGGGCGGTGAAAGGAATTAAAAATATATATTTTTGTTCACCAAAATATTTATTTTTATCATACACAAGTTTTCTATATACAGGCGTTTTCAATTTTAAAAATATTCATATTTCGCACCACCCTAATGAATAATGCTAAAGAGTATTTATTTGTTCCATTTAAACATTAAAATACATTATGTATATGTTTTTTTCAAGGTTATCACTTTAAAAAAATAGGTAAGTATGTACCTAATATTAGTGTTGTCTTTGAAATGGATATTGAATTTAGAGTCCGCTCTGAAAATGTACAGAAAAAAGCAAACTTTTTCTCAAAACTATCATTTTTGTAAGTAATCTATACCTATAATAATTTAATTGCATACACTTTTTAAAATATCATTTTGATTTTATATGAGATAAAAAAATAATTTTTTTTTAATCTGTTGCTCGAGTGAGCTGCGAAGAATGCCGTGCTCTGATTGGTTTATTGCTTCATTTTCTATAGAAAGTAAAGTCGCAAATTTTAAGTACAGCAAATTTTCTAGATGGATGTTACCTTATTACATAAAAGGTCTAAAAGACCGACTCGATGTGACCGATTTGTTTCAACACCCAAAAACAATGTGTTCCGAGAAACTGGGAACCGAATTGGAGAAGTACTGGTCGGAGGAACTTCACGAAAGTCAAAAAAATCAGCGAAACCCCAATTTAAGTAAAACATTAAAAAAAATATTTTTCAAACAATACTTGGTGAGTTCGTTGCACATATTTTTGGAGGTAACCGTCTTTAGGTAGGTAAGTGGATAAAAATAAATCCGAAGAAATGTTTGGGCTGTGTTTTTAGGACTCTTGCCACTTTGTCAATGTCCATTTTTATCAAAATGTTTTCGGAAGGCAATGCCGATAAAAATACCGAAAAATATATCACCGCGACAGTATACTGGATGTGCAATATTTCTTTTATAATTTTGGCGGAGCGTGGATATTATAAATTAGAAATGTTGTCTATAAAAGTCAGAGTGGCACTTTCATCCCTAATTTTTAGAAAGGTAGGTTTACTATTTGCTATTTTGCATAGCAAAATTATATTTTTGCATATGGGCGAATCTCACGAAATGTTACCCCGTGATATTTAATAAAACTAAATGAGTTTGATCTACACTTTTATTGTGTTTTGATCTTTTATAATTAAGTTGATATTACAGGCCAGGTTTCAATTGCAATTAATTATTTTTTACAATGTTTTAAAAGTCTAAAACCTATCCTCCGTGACTGTTACTCTTTCTAGGTTAACCTATATGTTTTCAAATATCTGAGGTAGTAAAAGCATACTAAAAATATCACTTCACCAAGTAAATTAACAACATACGGCTGATATCGGCATTATGTCGTTATAAACTATAACGATTTTATATAAATCCTGATAAAATGGGTACTATAGTACCTTTTTTGTACAAATGTTGTACCAGGATTTCAGGTTAATCAGGATGATCAGGTGAAGCTGGTGAAAAAAGTGGGTATCATATAAATACAATATAATAATATTAATGTACCCCATATAGGTACATCTATAGATACTCAAGTTATTCACAATTTTGTCCTGTTAGATACCGTAACCTCGTAGATACGTTTTTGAATAGGAATTCCAGTATAAAGATATACATATTTTAGATGCTAAAGCTAAATCAAAAATCTTTGGGACAAACCTCAGCTGGCCATATGGTGAATCTACTATCTAATGACTTAAATAGAGTAGAAATATTCGTAAGGTTTTCAAGCCAAATTTTTATAGCTCCTTTACATCTATTTATTATAACCTACCTTTCGTGGATTGAGGTTGGAGTTTCCTGCCTAGCTGGAATTCTTTTTGTTGTGTTGGTATCTCTACCAATGCAAGGTAAGGGAAGCAACAATAATAAAAAGGCTGACAAATAAAATAATATTTTTTAGGGTATATTGGGATGAAATCAGCAACCTTTCGCTCCAAGGTGGCCTCAAAATCTGATATAAGGACGAAGTTTATGAACGAAATCGTATCGGGAATTAAAGTGATAAAAATGTACGCTTGGGAAAAACCATTTGAAAAGATTGTGGAAAAAATACGACGCCAAGAGATGAATTATGTATATCGTTCTTTTCTTTTAAGTGGGTTGCCTTTTCATACCCACTCTTTAATCCACAAATTTACCGTATTTTTAATCATAATCACTTGCTTTTTTCTATCGATTGAGTTGACCGCTGCAAACATATTCACTACAGTTCAGTACATGAATCTGATTAGGTACACAATGTTGATAATGTTTCCAACCGCTGTACTAAGCATAGCACAATCTAAAATATCTTTCAAAAGAATAGAAGAGTTTTTGCTACAAGAAGAAATAACCGACTTCATTGAGAAACAAACTGTTAATACTGACGTTTATTTGACTAATATCCATGCTTCCTGGTCCCCAAATTCCATCGTTTTAAATATTCCAAACTTTCACATTCCCAACGGAAAACTCTGCACTATTGTAGGACCAGTAGGTTCAGGAAAATCGTCGTTACTTCAAATATTGCTAGGAGAACTTAAACCAATTTCAGGCACAGTTGAAATAAATAATTCCTTGTCGTATTGTTCCCAAGAACCCTGGCTGTTTTGTTCTTCGGTTAAAAACAACATTTTATTTGGACAAGAGTACAAGGAAGAAAAATACAGAGAAATCGTAAATATATGCCATCTAAACAAAGATTTCCATATATTCCCCCATGGTGATCAAACTTTGGTGGGTGAAAGGGGAGTAATGTTAAGTGGAGGGCAGAGGGCTAGAATCAATTTGGCTAGAGCTCTTTACAAAGAAGCAGAAGTGTATTTGTTAGATGATCCCTTATCTGCAGTTGACACGCATGTGGGTAGACACTTGTTTGATGAATGCCTTTTAAGGTATCTAAAGGGAAAGACCAGAATACTGATGACTCACCAGTTGCAGTATTTAAAGGAATCTGATGTAATTTGTGTAATGAATAATGTTAGTAAATAAGTGAATACATAGAAATTTGGAAAAAATTAATGAATGTTATAATTTAAAGGGGAAAATTGAAGCGTCTGGATCATTCGATGATTTGAAGGACGGAAATTTGGATTTTACAAGGTTTTTACCAAAAATAGAAAACGAAAGTGATAATTTAGATAACAGATCAAAAGTAAGTATACTGATAATAAAGAAATATATTAATATTAAAGTATATTTATCCTAGACACCTGGTCAAATTTCTCTGAATAAATTAAACATTGAACATTGTATGTTGGCTAAAGAGCAAGAAACGATTCCCGAAAAAATTAATTCCTTTAAGGAATACGTAAAGGCTGGAGGCAGTACCTGTTTTATTTTCTTTTTTATTCTAGTTACACTTTTAGCTCAGGTTGCCTACAACTTTTCAGACTATTGGCTCATCTGGTGGTAAGATTTAAATTTTAGCTATACAGGTTGTCATCGATTGTTCACGCCAAAGTAATAAAGTTTTTCCTTTATTACGTTTGCATTAACGCTGTTGTTCAAATCATGATGAAATATCTTAGGCTTTTTTTTGACAGCCACTGGTTTTGTTGCGTCAGCAACTGCTGTCGACGATCGAAGTATAGTCAGCCTGTTAAAATAATCTGATAAGAACTGCAGTTAAACAACTGGCCGACTCTACTTAGTTCGTCGACCCCAACCGCTTACACTTTAGGTAGGGCATGGTTTAAACCAGGGCTGTCCAACTTCAAGAAGCCCAAGGACCGCTGTAAATAAAATTGCGGTTGTGAAGGCCGCATCATAAAATATTTCGTTTGCAACTTTATCAGTGATTTATAATAGGTTCAAAAAACGTGTTTATTTGTATAATTATTTTTATTTATTCAAAAACCCCTTTTTTGACGTATTTTACTATTACCTACCGGTCAATATTTTTTTACCTTTTAGGACAGATAATTCGAAGAATCATATAAAGATAGAAATAATCAACATAAATAAAACCAAAGCAGTACCATCGTATCAATCAGACAAACGCACAAACCATTCATTGACTAATTCCGAAATAAGCTTGATTGCTTATGGTGTAACCATGATGATTTGCATTATTTTAACAATATTGCGGATATATTTAACCAGCAAATTTATCTGCAAGGCTTCTAACAACTTGCACAAAAAAATGTTTAATTCCTTACTCAAAGCACCAATGAGGTTTTTTAGTACAAACCCAAGCGGGAGGATTCTAAACCGATTTTCTAAAGATATTGGTGCTACAGACCAGTTATTACCAGCTGCTTTACTGGAGTCCAGCCAAGTACCTACATTGTTTTATATTTCATATATTTTAAATTTTGTTTTTAATTTTAGGTAGTTTTGCTTTGTACTGGAGGATTGGTATTAATCTGCTTATCAAGCTATTACGTAGTTATATTTGTAGTACTATTTCTAGCCTGTATGTATTTGTTGTTTAGCCGGAACGTAAGAATAGCAGCTCAATTTAAACACCTAGAGGGGATAAGTACGTAATAGAACCATAATGTTTTTATACGAAAAGATTTTTTTTATAATTTGTAAAAAACCGCTCATCATTCTGGACCACACTATATATATATATATATATATATATATATGTATTGATGGTTTTGCGGGATCTGCTCCGTGTTGTCAGTTTTTGGTAACAAAATTAAATTTGTGTAACTTTTTTTTTTTTAGCAAAATCACCCATTTTCACTCACGTTAACTATTCTTTAATGGGGTTAACAACTATTAGAGCAAATAAATCTGAGGAAAAGTTAATCCAGCAGTTTGATACGCACCAGGTACTATTTCAAAATATTTTAAAGGTTTTGGTAACGAACTAAACGATTAATTTTCGTTATTTATTTACAATAAAAACACACAATCTATGAAACTAACTAACCACTTAATTACTAATTATTTATATATCACTATAATGGTACAAAAGTCTATTAATTTCCACGTATATTTGATTTATTTCGTCGCGAGTACTAAAGCCTAACTAACACCTCAACCCTCCAATAGGTCTTATATAATATACATCCAGGGCGTACGTGACCTACTACACGCAAGCACCTTCCAAACTACAATTACAACATGATTTTTTTAATTTTCCAAACAATTTTTTCAGAACACGCACACTTCTGCAGAATACCTTACTATATCTTCTGGTATTGCGTTTGCTGAATGGTTGGAGCTTCTATGTATAATTTTAAATGTATGCTTACCATATGCTCTAATTTTAATCAACCAATATGGTAAGTGCGTAAAATTGTTTTAACAGGAAATCTTTCATAAATATCCAACTTCAGCTCACCCTGTACAAGATTCGTTCGTTGGTTTAGCTCTATCTCAATCACTAGCATTTAATGGGATGTTACCATACGGTATCAAACGTTGTACTGATGCTTGTAATTATTTTACATCTGTGGCAAGAATTTTATCATACACAAAATTAGAGGAAGAAACTCTGGAGAATCCAAAACACGTTATTTTAAAACAAACATGGCCTTGTTATGGCGAAATTGAATTCAGGAATTTGTATCTAAAGTACAGTAAAAGTGATGACGCTGTGTTAAAAAATATTAGCTTTATTATAGGGGCAAATCAAAAGGTACCTCTACACAAGTATATTAGATTTTAAACTATATAGACTTATAATTATAGATAGGAGTAGTTGGTAGGACTGGTGCTGGTAAATCATCACTGATTACAGCCCTATTTAGACTTGCTGATGTTGAAGGAACTATAACGATTGACAATGTAAACATATCGGAAATAGGTCTTACAAATTTGAGGCGGAAAATATCCATCATCCCGCAAGAACCGGTGCTATTTTCTGAAACCGTTCGGTATAATTTGGACCCGTTCCAGGAATTTAAAGATGATGAAATCTGGGAGGTCATAGAAGAAGTGAATATGAAGGGAGCCGTTGTGAGTTTAGATGATATGGTGCTGGAAGGCGGTAGTAATTTCAGTATAGGGCAGAAGCAACTTTTGTGTTTAGCAAGAGCTTTGCTAAGGAAAAATAAAATACTGGTGCTGGATGAAGCTACCGCTAATGTGGATCTAAGGTTTGAAGAAATCATCAGTATAAAATCATCGTGTTTTGATAATCTCTTTTTGTTTACAGAACTGATGAATTAATTCAAAAAACAATAAAAACGAAATTTTGTGCTTGCACAGTAATAACCATAGCTCATCGTTTGAATACTATTATGGACTCGGATAAAGTGATGGTGATGGATGGCGGGGAATTGGTTGAGTTCGCCCATCCATACATTTTGTTGAAAAACGAAAAAAGCATATTCCACAGTTTGGTGTTAGAAACTGGAGTTGCGATGATGCAGCAATTAAAGCAAATTGCTTACAATGAATATCACTCCAAAGTTCAAGTGTATAAATTTTAATTTAATATATTTAAATTGAGATCTTTGTTTTGTTTATAATGCACTTCCAAAAATCTAAACCAATGATTGAACTCTGCAAAATCCGGTTTTATTCGCAAATGTCATTTTTGACCGATGCGATTTTGTTTTTTGACCCTTGCCGCCGAAGTATTTAGTTAAGTATATTTTTACGTAAAGAAAAAAATTTAAAATTTTTAAAATCTGTTAGTTTTGAAAATTTGATTCTGTTTTTTTTGGGTTTACTAAGGAAGCTAAACATTTTTTTATTAAAAATTTATATGACAAATCTTTTATACATTTTTGAAAGGAATGTTAAAAAACCAAAATTATAGAATTCAAAATTTTAAAGTTGCTGTAATTTTCAAACTCAATAATGGACAAATTTGAAAAAAATCGTGAAATCGTTTTTCGGCATGTACTTTTCAAAATGTTATGACCTAGTTACTTAAGTTAATGAATTCTGACTTATCAGTGAAATTGTAATTTCATAAAATATATTTAAATAAATTTTTACGCAATATTAAAAACCTAAAATAACAGCAAACGTACAACGTTATACAACATTATGTATCAAGTTTGATAAACGCCATTTTAGTCACGAATTTAAATTATGCACTAGCGAGTGTTTAATTAAATGAATGTCTAGAAAAATTTGCATACTATACTTTTTTTATGATCTGTATTACCGGTTGCAAATGTCAAATTTTTCTGTGTAAAGCGAAATGTATTCTATAAAAATGGACTAACAATCGTTTAAATCCGGTATAGGAGCAGTTTTTTATAGTTAAAGTAAAGGTGAAGTCTCCACCCTAAATTTTTAATGATTTATCCATTAAATCTACTTTATTTTTGAATTTTTGTATTAAAATAATAAAATAATTTTCACATTCTCAAAAAGGGCACTTTGTTTTAGCGATTGTATCACATTTGACAACTGTCAATCAACTTAAAGCTAACTTCAGCTCGTGACTAAAAACCTGTTGCTAACTTCAGCCCGTGACTAAAGCCATGGAATGTACGATAATGGGCGTTTTAAAGGGGAATAAAAAAAGTTTATTAATTGATTTGTATAAAAGCGTACCTACCTAGATTGTTATTGTCTATTTTAATTTGTTTACCTTTTTCGTACCAACTCAAAAATAAATGTAATTATAAACCCCTGGATAAAAAACATTATAATTAAAAAATAATTATCTTTAGGTACTTTTAATACAAAAATCATGTAAAAATGCAATATCTCTAGATTTTGGGTAAACATAGTTTTTGGATCCGCCCCTGATTCAATAATTTGTAAAATATTTTAAATATTGCTAATTAGAATAGTGAAAATTTGCATTGTAACAAAACAACCAAACGAAATACATAGGTGTTAAAATGGATATAGATTACGAAATAAAGCGCCAAAGTCTTGGGAAAAGTTTTTTTTCACAATGTTTATTATTGTAAGTTTTTAATACATTAAACTAATATAACCCTATTGTTACAATTTATGTGGTATTCCTAGGTGGGTTTTACCATTTTACAAAAAAAGTTTAAAAGGAGTTATAGAATTGACTGATATATATTCAAGTCCTAATGAAATGTCTTCAAAATATCTTGGTGATAAACTGGAAATGATTTGGTTGAAACATTTGGAATTATCCAAACGGAAAAATCAAAAACCCAGTCTCTATAAAGTGTTGGCAAAGTTGTTTATTTGGGAATATTTTCTCTACGCTTTTTATGTGTTTTTGGAAGTGGTAATATTCAGGTAATAAACAAAAACTTTTGTTGTAATATCATGAGGAATTTTTTAATATTATTATATAAAATCTTCTAAATGGTAAAATTAAACTACCCCGAGACAATTTCCAAGTATAACAACTGGTTAAATAACTAGCATTCTAAGTAAATTAATCAAAATCTATATTTTAAAATCAACATAAGGTTAATTTTACCATAATTGAATTCCCCACGTATTACAAAATAACGTTAATTTAAGGTTAATTTAACCAGTTGTGCTACTTGGGAATTGTGGACTTTCCTTACATATTATAAACTGTGTAGGGTAAACCACATAGTTATTGGACACTTAAGGAATATTATTTATTTAAAATTTATATATGCCGTTGTTTTAAAGATTTTCGTTTTTTCTTATAAATATATAAAAAGGATAGTTTACTTAAAAATAATAACATTTGAATTTTTAATAATAGTTTTATAAAAACATGCAAAAAAGTATAGTAATTGGACATTTTATATAGTAATTGGACACATGGACCATAGTTATTGAACATACAATTTTTATATAAACATAACAACTTTACATCAAATAACATAAATTCTTAAATATTTTATAAAGATAAATTGATGTTTTAGGTAATTTTTTTATTTCGTTTTTGTAAATATCATATAATTCATATATTTTTTTCTCGGATTCCTCATCCCTTTTCTGGATTCTGAAGGTAACTACTAATTCCTTGGTCTGACTTCTGAAATAGTTTGTTGCAAATATTATTAAGTGTGGTATATCTGGTTTGAGAACCATTTATAATATTTTTTCGGGTGGTATGTTAAAAGTACTTTCCGAATTTATTAATTTTGTTGCCATTAGTTTTTTATGTTCTTTATCATGCACTGTATTTAAATCACTGTTATTCTGCAAGATGTCCTGTGACGAAGAAATCACTATATTACTTACTCTCTAAAAATGAATTAGTCAAAAATGTCATAGCGATAGAGCAGCCACTAATAATTCTCGTCAACAGTTATTTGTATCCAGGATATTTAGCAGTCAATTCCTATGAAATATTATTCACTGAATCCGAAAATGTCGTCAAAAGTTATAAAAGTAGAACAGTTTTTGAAATATAATCAATTTTGCATATAATATGGAATTGACTATATCTCAAAAACTACTTAACTTGTATAGTTTTTGGCGGTCTTTTCGGATTCAGGGGACAATTTTACATAAGAATTGGCTGGTAAATACACGGGATATAAATAGAGTATGATATTGGAGATATGTCCAATAATAAAAATTTACATTTTTTACCAACCAGTAATTGGACACTGGCCATTTTACTGTTTGTTTTCAGAATTAAAATTAAAACGCATTAAAGTGACAATGTTTAAACCATGAGGAACACATTTATACCACACTGATCTGTACACTTTTTAGAAATATTTTTTTATTGTAATTTAAACACAGCCCTGCTCTTAACAAAAAAACAAAAATCTTACCACCAAAGTATCTTTTTTGTCCTATATTGGACCCAAAATAAAGTAGTTCTATAATATTACCGACTGAGATAGTTAAAATTGAATACAGCGTCATCTAATGACTATTTATAGAACTCTTGTTTTTACGGTATTAATGTTTATTGTCCAATAACTATAAAGTGTCCGAGAACTGCCTACTTTACCCTAATACATTTAATATTTTTAGATGCCTTTCAGCTATAATTTTATCCAGATTTATTGAATTTTTTAACGACGAACTTGTCGATGATAATTATCACAAATACTTAACAGCTACAATTTACTGGATACTTATATTGTTGTCTGTAGTTTTCTGCGTATTGTCTCGTTATAGGTTAGATTGTTTAGGATTAAAAGCCAGTATTGCACTATCATCGTTACTTTATAGAAAGGTTTAGTATTTTTTGTAATTTATGTGTGAAAGCAGGTAAAATTAATTAATATTTTTAGATGATAAAATTAAACCAAAGATCTGTAGGCAAAACATCTTCTGGTCAAATAGTAAACATACTATCAAATGATCTAAATAGAGTTGAATTTTTCCTTAGGTTTTCGTACAATGTTGTTCTGGCTCCTGTACATTTAATTGTAGTAACTTACCTTTCATGGGAGGAAGTTGGAGTATCTAGTTTTGCAGGGATTCTATTCATAGTATTAATAGCATTACCTATACAAGGTATTATAATTATCATACCTATAATTACACTAGTTTATAGTCGTTGTGTCCACCATATCTCACTATGATTTTCTTGTGTAGTTTGGCTCACTAAATTTTCAATTGTTTTTTTTTTCTGAGGTGTTTTGACGTTTTAGAGTATACTTTGAGTTCTAATTAATCGATTTGACCAAACAAGCACTTAAATCAAAGGTAATTGAGCCCTCTACAACTTTCTTTTGCATAGTTTTGGTATCGGCTCAGTAGTTCGATACTGGCGATTTTATGAAGTTGAAAAAGTCCTTTTTTTTACAAAAATGGAGGTCGAAAATTTACATATCTTTCTGGGAAAGATAGAAATCGAAAAGATAATTCCAGTTTGATTTATTTTACGTATATATTATACTTAAAGCAAAAAAATAAGCTGCTGTTGATAAAAATCCATGGATAAATGGCGAAGTTATGAATTTTTCAGTGGAAGACCAAAATTCAGTTTTTCGAGAATTTTTAAGTTTTTTCTTCATTTTATTGAATTATATACCTAAAATTTAATATTGAACATTGATTTTTATTTTAAACAATAAATATTAAAATTAAATTATATATTGAATATTAAACAATAAATATTGAACATTGAAGAAATTATTTTGTTGTAATAAGCATAGGTTTAAAAAAATTCTGGCTCCTTCTTTGTTTTTTTGTTGCTTTTATATTTCGTTTCTCGTATGAGGGACCAAATATAATTAGCCATCATGGCTGCAACCCAGAAGCCGTGATACCGCCGCTCCATAGCCTTCATTTGCTGGTGAAAACGTTCTCCGTGCTCATCACTTACGTCGCACAGATTGTGCGGATTATTTAGTAATCGAACTCTCTACTTCTTTTACTCATTTTACACTTTTTATTAACTAAATAAAACCATGATAAAAATACCTTGTTGAAATATCAAAAAATATCAGTGAAATGTCACTATGCCAACACGAGAAACAAAAGAATTCACGTTTGCGGAGTCAAATTTTGAATATTGTTTTCGGTGAAAAAAGTACGTATAAAACTCAAAAAATTCCAATCATGCACTTTATTTAGGATTTCATTAAAGAATAAACATATTACAAAATAAAAGAAAAAAAATAAAAAAAAAATCGTCAAAAATCTGAATTTTGGTCTTGCACTAAAAAACTCATAACTTCGCCATTTTTTCATGTATTTTTATCAACATTAGCTTGTTTTTTTGTCAGCTTCACGAAAAAAAATTCAAACTGGAGTTATCTGTTTGATTTAAACCTTTCCCAGGACGATATGTAAATTTTCTTCCTCAATTTTTGCCATAAAAACGAATTTTTTAAGTTATTAAAATCGCTAGCGTCAAAATACTTATCCGATATCAAAAGTATGTAAAAAAAAGTTTTAAAGGGACCAAATACCTTCAATTTAAGGGCTTGTTTGACCAAATCAATCAATCAAAATTGAGTGTGATTTTCGTGTTTAGTGGTTCAAAATAACATGGGAAAATTATAGTGGGATATGGTGGGCAGAATTTTTTTTGATTTTGTAAACTAGTGTTATTTAAGCCCAACTAAATAAATTTTTTTTAGCATTTATTGGTACAACAGCAGCCAAATTTCGTTCTAACGTTGCAATAAGATCAGATAAAAGAAGCAAACTCATAAACGAAATAGTTTCAGGTATTAAAGTAATAAAAATGTATACTTGGGAAAAACCATTCGAAATGCTTGTTAGAGCAGTGAGATGCGAAGAATTAAAGTACGTGTATCGGTCATTTTTGTTCTGTGGATTGCCGCATCACATTCACGCGTTAATACACAAATTTTCGGTATTCTTAATTTTGCTGTGTTGCTACTTAATCTCGTTTAATACCACCACTGCAAATACATTCGCCATATTGCAGTACATGAATTTATTGAGGTACTCTGTGTTACTTCTATTTCCCCAAGCCATTTTAAGTATTGGAGAGTGCAGAATCGCTGTTAAAAGAATAGAAGATTTTTTGTCGCAAGAAGAAATAACCGACTTCATCAAGAAGCAAACTGTTAATACTGAAGTTTCTTTGAGTAACATCCATGCCTTATGGTCCCCAAATTCCATTGTTCTAAAAATTCCGAAATTTCACATTCCCAGCGGAAAATTCTGCACCATTGCAGGACCAGTCGGTTCGGGAAAATCGTCGCTACTTCAAATATTGCTAGGAGAACTCAAACCAATTTCAGGCACAGTTCAAATAAATAAATCCGTCTCGTATTGTTCCCAAGAACCATGGTTGTTTTGTTCTTCGGTTAAAAACAACATTTTATTTGGACAAGAGTACAAGGAAGAAAAATACAGGGAAATCGTAAATATATGCAATCTAAACAAAGACTTCGACATATTCCCTCATGGCGATCAAACTTTGGTAGGCGAAAAGGGGGTCATTCTAAGCGGGGGACAGAAGGGTAGAATCAATTTAGCCAGGGCTCTTTACAAAGAAGCACAAGTGTATTTGTTAGATGATCCCTTATCTGCAGTTGACACACATGTGGGTAGACACTTGTTTGATGAATGTCTTTTAAAGTATTTGAAGGGAAAAACCAGAATCCTGATAACTCACCAGTTGCAGTATTCCAGGGACGCTGATATTGTTTATGTAATGAACAATGTAAGTATGATAAAATATGTATAACTAGATAAAACAAACACTGTTTTTTGAGTTTCACGAATTTATTTTATTATTTGACAATTGTTGCGCTAACACAGTGTTTTTTTTTATGAGTTCCATCAAGTAAAGGTCAAAACAATAAAATATTTTTAAATCTTTACAAAAGCAACAATAACACTAGTTTACAAAATCGAAAAAAATTTCTGCCCACCATATCTCATTATAATTTTTCCATGTATTTTGACCCAATAAACACGAAAATCACACTCAATTTTTTTTTATGGAAGCGTTTTTAAAATATGAATTTTCGGAGGTATTTTGACGTTTTTGTGTATAGCTAATTGATCGATTTGGTCAAACAAGCCCTTAAATTGAAAGTATTTGAGCCCACTAAAACTTTCTTTTACATACTTTTGATATCGGATAAGTATTTTGACTCGCGATTTTAATAACTTAAAAAATTCGTTTTATGGCAAAAATTGAGGTCGAAAATTTACATATCGTCCTGGGAAAGGTTTCAATCAAACAGATAATTTCAGTTTGAATTTTTTTTCGTGAAGCTGGCATTTTTACAAAAAGAACAAGCTAATGTTGATAAAAATACATGGAAAAATTGCGAAGTTATGAATTTTTTAGTGAAAGACCAAAATTCAGCTTTATGACGATTTTTATTTTATTTTGTTCTTTTATTTTGTAATATGTTTATTCTTTAATGAAAACCTATGTAAAGTGCATGATTGGAATTTTTTGAGTTTTTTACGTAATTCTTTCACCGAAAACATTATTCAAAATTTAAATTTGACATGACTCCGCAAACGTGACTTCTTTTGTTTCGTGTTGGCATAGTGACATTTTACTGATATTTTTTCATATTTCAACAAGGTATTTTTATCATGATTTTATTTAGTTAATAAAAAGTGTAAAATGAGTAAAAGTAGTAGAGAGTTCGAGTGCGTAAATAACCCGGACAATCTGGGCGACGTAAGTGATGAGCACGGAGAACGTTTTCACCAGCAAATGAAGGCTATGGAGCGGCGGTATCACGGCTTCCTGAATGCAGCCATGATGGGTGATTACATTTAGTCCCTCATACAAAAGCAACAAAAAACAAAGAAGGAGCCAGAATTTTTTTAAACCTTTACTTATTAAAACAAAATAAAACTTTCAATATCTTCAATGTTCAATATTCAATATAATTTAATTTCAATATTTAATGATTAAAATAAAAATCAATGTTCAATATTAAATTTTATATAATTCAATAAAATGAAGGAAAACGTAAAAATTCTCGAAAAACTGAATTTTGTTCTTCCACTGAAAAATTCATAACTTCGCCATTTATCCATGGATTTTTATCAACAGCAGCTTTTTTTCCCTTTAAGTATAATCTATACGTAAAACAAACTGGATCTTTTTGATTTCTATCTTTCCCAGAAAGATATGTAAATTTTCGTCCTCGATTTTTGTAAAAAATGGACTTTTTCAACTTCATAAAATCGCCAGTATCGAACTACTGAGCCGATACCAAATCTATGCAAAAGAAAGTTGTAGAGGGCTCAATTACCTTTGATTTAAGTGCTTGTTTGGTCAAATCGATCAATTAGAACTCGAAGTATACTCCGAAACGTCAAAACACCTCAGAAAATTTTAAAAAAATTAAGTGGGATTTTCGCGTTTAGTGAGCCAAACTAAACGAGAAAATCATAGTGAGACATGGTGGGCAAAATGGCTGTAAACTAGTGTAATTTAAGGGGAGGATTGAAGCAAGTGGTTCTTTTAAAGAAGTAAGTAAGGGTCATTTGGAGTTTAGAAGATGTTTGTCTAAAATAGATGAAGAAAATGATGATGGTGATCAAAAAATGAAAGTATTAGCACTATAAATTATTAAGAAAGTTAATTATATCAGTATATCTGTTTTAGAAAATTAATACTGAACGCAATAATCTTAGTAATGAAAAATGCATTATAGTAAAGGATCAGGAAATAATTCCTAAGGATATAAATTCTTTTATAGGATACATTACAGCTGGAGGAAACACGTTATTTATTTTGATACTAATTTTGATAACATTATTGGCTCAAATTTCTTACAACTTGGCTGATTTCTGGCTTGTACTATGGTATAATTTAAAAAAAATAAAAAACTGCTTAAATATTATAAATATTTTAGGAGGAAAAGTAAAAATTATAATACAAATATTGAAATAGTTAATCTAAACCAAACCAATGAAAACGTTCCTTTATACAAATTGGAAAACACGTTAACAAAATATGGATCAAACTTCAGTACTTACGCATGGATTATGCTTGGTGCTGTTGTTTTAACTATTTTAAGAATAAATGTTAGCAGTAGATTTATTTGGAAGGCTTCGTATACCTTGCACGAGAAAATGTTTCATTCCTTACTCAAAGCACCAATGAGGTTTTTTAATTACCACCCTAGCGGGAGAATCCTCAACAGATTCTCCAAAGATATTGGTACTACCGATCAATTATTACCCACTGCTTTTCTGGAATCCAGTCAGGTACTTCCTATACAATAAAGTGATTAACAAATCCCTATAGGGATCATTTTCTACAGAAAATGATCCCTATAGGAAAAAACGCTAGCATAGCATGAATGGGTGAGCCATAAAACCAATACGTATTCCTGAATAACAGTTCCTATAATACCAATAGGTAGTTAGAACTTGGTTTATAATCGTTTACTGTTTTTAAATTAACAACAAAAGTTATCGCTCCTAAACCTATTGATATTCACATTGATATTTATTTGTTAGAATGTTAGAATGTTATTGCATTAAATACTTATTTGATTTATTTAATAACGTTACTATTGTATGTATACTATGTATACATTTAACGCAATAAATTCTTTGACATTTAGGCAAAATATTTCCCTATTTTGGTTTAATAGTAATTAATTGAACAAATAACAATTTAGATTGCTTCAATTTGAATGCATTCAATGACAGCGCTGTTCTTGGTGCTATGTTAGATTTTTTTCTGTGGAACAAGAAATATTTTTTATTATTTTATTTCAGCTGCTTCTGTTTTCTATCGGGGCACTGATTCTAATTTGTCTAACAAGCTACTACGTAATAATATTTGCGGTCATATTTTTCGTGTCCATGGGTCTGTTATTTTTGGCCAACCTAAAGATAACCATGCAAGTCAAACATCTGGAAGGGATAAGTATGCTGCAGTCCTGCTGAAGAAACTGGGTGTCCACATTTTGAGTTATAGTGAGCTTTTTTCATCGCTTCCATCAAAATTTGAGAGTTACAACTATTTAGAATTAAATTTTATGGTCAAATAATTCAAAAAAAACTATACGCTAAAGAAGTATCGCTAGTATCATCGTAACAAAAGTAGTACTTTTGATAATCAGCTGTCAAACGCTTATGTTACAAACGAGTGTTTTTGAGAATAAAGCCGGAAAATGTTAAAAAATATCGAAAAAGAAACCGTGGCTCGATTTGTTTTGTTGTTGAGTGTATTTTGAGAGGAAATCCTGGGTTGAGTTTTTATCGGTTTTTCAACAGTGTTAATCAGAATGAAAAAATAAATCATACAATCCCTGTAAATATAAATTGTATCTATTAGTTACAATAAATACACATTTTAGTAATGATTAACGTGAAAAGTGTAAACATTTCAATTCAGTAATAATCGTCAAACAAATAAGTCGTCTAAATTTAAACAGCATTTAGTATTATTAAAAGCGTTGATTAAGAAAGTCTCCACTCAACGGTAAAATACCATTATATTATGTATTATATATAATATTATGTTGCCATGAATTCGTAGGTATATTTTGTTGTTTAAAATGCAGTTGTCGGCGTTTTTTAGAGAACTCAAATATAAAAATGGTTGATTTTAAGGTTATGTTTGTGCAAAAATTATTTTTTACTAATTTCTTAAAAGTGCCCAACCTTAAATATAAATTATATTACGTAATGTTACCATTACTTAATTCTGGACCAACAAATGTACTTACCGAATTGAATCCATTGGCAAAACATGAAAATGCAATGATTTAGTTCTTAAATTTTATTTACAATTAAAAACACAATAATTCACCATGATCCCTTTGATAAAATACACACACTAATGTAACTATATAAGCATTTAAGCGTTGAGTTTCTTAATCAATGATATAAAGAATAATCAATCAAAATCGAGTACTAAACCAGTTTTTTAGTGTTTTCCTTGCAACGTAAAACACAAATAAAGTGCGCGATTTAGCTGTGTAATTGTCCACCAGATGGCGCGCGCGTTGCGAAAACCCTATACTTCTGTAGCGTATAGAAAAACGATGTAAAATAACTTAACCTAAAAAACAAAACTGTTATGTCAACAATACCATTAAGGTCAAGTTGCACTACAATACAAGTGTGTTTTTTAAATTTTTATTTAATTTTCCCCTGATGTAGACACTCACTTTCTTTATTAGAACCATATTCAGTATTATATCTTATAAATGATGTTTCTAGCGAAGTCCCCAATATTTACTCACATAAATTATTCATTGACGGGTTTAACCACGATAAGGGCAAACAAATCTGAAGAAAAACTTATTGAGCAGTTTGATATACATCAGGTACTTACCACACTTCTGAACAACTTGTGTTTTGTTAATGCTTTGTCCGTTTTTGAATACCAACTTAAAACCGATATTTTTCAGGATACCCATACATCAGTCAGCCATCTTTTATTAGCATGTACTCATGCTTATACCATTTGGATAGATTGCTTATGTGTATTTTTGAACATAGCTTTACCCTATGCTTTTATTTTAATAAATCAATATGGTTAGCAAAGTTATCAGTATAAATACAATACATTGCAAAAGTATGGAACAAATTCATTATAAATGTGCATATTGATGTATTCAGAATTTCTTCTTCTACAAAAATGGAGGCGGATATGAAAATTTTACATCAAAAATCAAAATCAACGTGTTTAAGTAATTTTTGGGGAAAAAAGGGCAGATTTTTTAATGAATTTGTTTCATACTTTTGCTGGTTAATCTATATATTAATGTGTAATTTAAGTTTATCATGTGGATGACTCAAACGTTGGTTTAGCTCTATCGCAAGCCATATCTTTTAATGGTCTACTGCCATTTGGTTTAAAACGTTGCACTGAAGGTTGCACTTACTTTGCATCAGTTGCAAGAATTTTATCTTACACAAAACTAGAGAAAGAACCACTTGAGAATTCAAAAGACGTGAGCTTAGCAAAAACATGGCCTTGTTATGGAGGAATCAAATTTAGAAATGTGTATCTAAAATACAGTGAAAATGATGACGCTGTCTTAAAAAATCTTAACTTTTTTATCAGTCCAAATCAAAAGGTGACCAACATTTCAAATTATAAACTTTGTGGAAATTTTTAATCATTATTTTAGATCGGAGTAGTTGGTAGGACTGGTGCTGGAAAATCATCACTGATAACAGCCCTATTTAGACTTGCTGATGTTGAAGGAACTATAACGATTGACAATGTAAACATATCGGAAATAGGTCTTACGAATTTGAGGCGGAAAATATCCATCATCCCACAAGAACCTGTGCTGTTTTCTGAAACCGTTCGGTATAATTTGGACCCCTTCCAGGAATTTACAGATGATGAAATCTGGGGGGTCATAGAAGAAGTGAATATGAAGGGAGCCGTTGTGAGTTTGGATGATATGGTGCTGGAAGGCGGTAGTAATTTCAGTATAGGGCAGAAGCAACTTTTGTGTTTAGCAAGAGCTTTGCTAAGGAAAAATAAAATACTGGTGCTGGATGAAGCTACCGCTAATGTGGATCTAAGGTTTGAAGAAATCATCAGCATAAAATCATCGTGTTTTGATAATCTATTTTCGTTCACAGAACTGACGAATTAATTCAAAAAACAATAAAAACTAAATTTAATTCTTGCACTGTATTAACGATAGCTCATCGTTTGAATACGGTTATGGACTCTGATAAGGTGATGGTGATGGATGGTGGAGAATTGGTTGAATTCGCTCATCCACACATTTTGTTGGATAACGACAAAGGCATGTTTTACAGTTTAGTTTCAGAGACTGGCGTTTCAATGATGCAACAATTAAAGCAAATTGCCTACCATGACTACCACTCTAAAGTAGAAGTTTACAAGTTTTAATTGTCACAGTTTCATTTAGGATTTTAATAAGTTAAATGTTAATTAGGAATATTGGTTATGAAAAATTTAACATATTTATTGTTAGAGTATTTTAAAATTATTATTATGACTTATATCTATAAGGTCATTGTTAATTAGTTCTGATAAAATCAAAACCAATTACTAAAGCAATACCTACATATGTATAGAATGTTATCTATACTATACTATACCTACATATATTATTATTTATAAAAAACAAAAAAGTTTGTAGGTACAGTTTTAATTTTTCAAATAACCAATGTTATTTTTTATTACTTTTAAATTTTATAATGCACAAATAACAAAATTTAAAAAAAAAATTCTCAGTAGTTTTATTTTTATACAAGGTTTCAAAAAAATTAAATTGTGGATTTAGCTAAATATTATTATATGAACCCGCTTTTAAATTTAAATAATATAATATATATATATATATATATATATAAAAGGGCGAATCTCACGAAATGTCCCCCGATGGTGTTACCCCGTGATATTTAATAAAACTAAATGAGTTAGACCTACACTTTTATTGTAGATATTGCAGCACAGGTTCCAGGTTTTTAACCGCAATTTATTATTTTGTACAATGTTTTAAACGTCTAAAACCTATCCTCCGTGACTTTTACTCTTTCTAGGTTAACCTATAAGTTTTCAAATATATAAAGTAGTAAAAGCATACTAAAAAAAGTTTAAATTCATTAATTTGCTATTTAAAAACCTATCCACCGGAAGTGTAATATCTCAGTAAGTAGATTTTTTTTAAAATATTTTATGTATGTACAATTGTATTTTTAAAAAATATTAAGGTGTCAAAAGATACAATAACTTATTTCAAATATACAAAGGGATGTTTAAAAAAAACATACGAAATCCTAACCTCCGTGAAGCTATCTTGCGTGAAGCTCTAATATTCAAAATGTATGATTTCTTAAAATTCTTGCATTAGCGCAGAACCACTTATGTTATGTTATTACTAGACCTGGTGGCTTCCCTAAAACCCCATTCTAGACTAAAAGTGAAATAACCAAAAATAAAAAATATCATTTTCACTTGGGGGACATCTCAATATATTCACCCATAAATATTTTTCTCTTATGAAATTCATTCAAATTTCTATAAAATTAATCGATTTTTAAATTAAATTGACGAATAATTTAAAGATCACAAGTAAAAAAACGATCTAAATCACTATATTGAGATTTCAAGAAAATATTATAAATAAAAAAAACTATTATATATGGATTTTTAATGAAATAAAAGATATTGTTTTAAAGTAAATAATATTTACTAAATATCAAATAAAATATATGAAAAAAGTGCTAAGAAAAATTTAATTTTAGTTTTTAGGTTAAATGTTTTAAATAATGGATTTTGAAATAAAATATCTTGTGTTAAAGCCATTTATATACATATATGTATTCAAATGTTTTCAAAAATGGCGGATGCGCCGGGATATTTATTTAATTATAATAATAATAATAATATATATTCATAATAAGGAACCTTGTCATAAAACTTTAAAAAATGCAAATTTTTTGTCCATTTAAAAAAATTTAAATTTATTTTTATTTAAATACTTTAAAATAATTGACTTTAAAACAGTTAAAATAGCAAACTCGTCAACATCAATGAATACAAATATTGTAAAACTAAAAGCACCATATCCATATGAAAAAGCTAATATTTTAAGTAAAATTTTCTTTTTGTAAGTATTTAATTTAAATTAAATTTAGAATATAATAAAAAATACTTTTTAGATGGATCCTAAAGTATTTTCGAAATGATCATCTTTCACAAGATGATCTCTTTAAACAACCTAAGGGAAGCTCTGCAAAAGAATTGGGGGATAAAATGGAGAAGGAGTGGAAAAAAGAAATTGCATTATCCCTACATCAAAAACGAATACCTTCTTTAGTAAACGTTTTAAAAGCTTTATTCATAAAGGACTACATAATACAAACATTTTTATATTGCTTTATGTTTACAGTAGTAAAGCAAGTATTTTTTAATCCACGTGTAATAATGATTTTATGACGATATTTTATTTCAGACCTCTTCAAACAGTATTTCTGTCTATGTTCCTCAAAACTTTTTCAAACACACAGGAAATGTTCAATAGGCAAATAATAACAGGATCTCTTTTAGTTTTCAGTGTTTTAGTAAATGTTTTATTTTATTTTATAGTACAATATAATGCTTCAATTTTAAGCATTAAAGTAAGATCTGGCATTAAATCTTTAATATATCGAAAAGTGAGTATTACAGTTTCCACAAATTTGAGGTTCAAAGTTTTAAAGAGTTATGGTTTACATCTAGATAATGTAATTCTTTTGAAAAGATTTTTCAAAATATTTATTAACCTGTTTAGGTACAAAAAAAATTCGATAAGATTCATGTATTTTTTGTTATAATTTATTCAAACACGTTTAACATTATGGACCACCATTACTTGTTTTTTTTATTTAAAACCTGGTAATTGCAAACTGCACATTAAAATCAATATTTGGGTATTTGAAAACTGCCCTTACATGCATAAATTTAAAAAATGATAAAAAAAATCGCACAGAAGGATAAATTTAAAAAATAGCAGAAACAATTGGCACAGTGGGATAAATTTAAAATATGGTAGGACAAATTTAGACTGTGGAATTATGTCAAACATTTTTAGGTATTAAGAATAGACAAATCAGCTTTGACGAAATATCCAGTTGGAAAAATAGTAAACCTAATAACTAACGATATGAATGTTATAGAACCATACTGCTTGTATTCAAAAATTCTGTACATAACTCCGATACAAACAATATTGATCACATACCTTATGTGGCAGGAAATTGGATTTTCTTGTTTATTTGGAATTGGATTTTTAATAGTCACTGCTTTGCCTTCAAATTGTAAGCTGAAATTTAATTAGTACCACATATTATTTTATTATTTCGACATTAATTAATGTACGAGGTGTGTTCAGAAAATATCGGGAATTTTCGTTTTTTGAAAAAATATTTATTTATTCGTCTACATTAATGTTGTCGCCTTCAAAATAGTCCCCATTGGATATTATGCACATGTGCCAGCTCTTCTTCCAATACTCGAAACACTTCTAAAACTCGATCTTTGGGATAGCCTTTAGTTCTTTCAGCTTTTAATGTCATCTATGCTTGCAAAACGACGGCCCTTTAAGGTTCTCTTTATTTTTGGGAATGGGAAAAAGTTAGACAGAGGCATGTCTGGCGAATATGGAGGCTGGGGCATCATTACAGTATTGTTTTTGGCCAAAAATGTTGTTCAAAATTTAACAATTTTAGAACAAATTTTGCTGCCACGCGTTTCATACCCAAAACATTCGAGAAAATTTCATGGGATGAGCCAATCGATATACCAACATTATCAGCGACTTCTCTGATGGTTTATAACCATTTCTTCCACTTAATAAATGTTCCATGTTTTTATCGGTTGTTAATGTGCTTGGGCGTTCGTCATCTTCAACGTCTTCACGGCCATCTTGGAAACTCTTATATCACTTGTAAACTCTTGTTTTACTTATAGCAGACGCACTATAGGCCTTTGTTAACATTTCACAGAGTTTATTTCATTTTTTAAGCAAAATTGGATACAAATTCTTTGATCCATTTCTTTTAACGAACGAAAATCGCCGAGCTCATAAAACACGTCTAACCTTAGCGACTGCCACAGACAAAGTAAACAATGAAAACAGCTAAAGTTTTTATCATACTTCAGGGGCATGTATACCAACATAATAAAGAAAATTTTATGACAACTGGACCCTCCGAACACGCGAAATTTAACAATTCCCGTTATTTTCTGAACACACCTCGTATACCTAACTAGATAAAAAACAAACACGGTTCTTTGAGTTTCACTAATTTAGTTTAATTTAATTTGACGATTGTTTCGTTAACACAGTAGCTTTTTTAGAAATAATTTAAAACTTTATCTTGGGTAAGTTATGTTTATGTATTTTAATCACGAAACTCGATCTTTGAGATAGCCTTTATTTCTTTCAGCGATGCGCTTTTAATGTCATCTATGCTTGCAAAACGACGGCCCTTTAAGGTTCTCTTTATTTTTGGGAATAGGAAACAGTCAGACAGAGGCATGTCTGGCGAATATGGAGGCTGGGGCATCATTACAGTATTGTTTTTGGCCATAAATTTTGTTCAAAATTTAACAATTTTGGAACAAATTTTGCTGCCTCGCGTTTCATACCCAAAACATTTGAAAAAATTTCATGGGATGAGCCAAACGATATACCAACATCATCTGCGATTTCTCTGATGGTTTATAACAATCTTGGAAACTCTTATACCACTTGTAAACCCTTGTTTTACTTATAGCAGACTCACTTTAGGCCTTTGTTAACATTTCACAGAATTTATTTCATTTTTTAAGCAAAATTTGATACAAATTTTCTTTGATCCATTTCTTTTAACATAAAACATAAAACACGTCTAACCTTAGCGGCTGCCACAGACAAAGTAAACAATGAAAACAGCTAAAGTTTTTATCATACTTCGGGGGCATGTATACCAATATAATAAATAAAATTTTATGACAACCGGACCCTCCGAAGCCGCGAAATTTAACAATTCCTATTATTATCTGAACACACCTCGTAGAAGCAAATAATTCACCTCTGATAAATTTATTCTAATGTTATATAAGATACAAAATTCCCCAAAGATATTTTATTACAACTGTTGTTAAATTATACTTCTACAGGTAAAATTGTCATACTGTACTAACATTTAACAATAATTGTATTATGTAAGTTTTTTATTAAAGAAAGTTTTGAATTATTTCTGAAGAAGCTACTGTTTTAGCAAAATAATTGCCAAATTAAATTAAAATAAATTCGTGAAAAACAAATAACAGTGTTTGTTTTTTATCTAGTTACAGTACATTAGTGCCACACATTAGTTTACTTATTTTAGTAACTTATAAAATGGTTAGAAAACTCC